CACATGCATATGCACACATACGCATACCACACACACATGTGTGTGTGATGTGTGTATATAATCATACACACACAAAATAAAGAAATGTAAAGAAAGGCTCAGCCCAGATAGACTGCAAAATCTGACCATGCTCTTAGAAAGAACTAACATAGAAAAGGAAGGACTACTTCCAAACTCTTTTTATGAAGCCAGTATTATCCTGATACCAAAGGCAGATAAAAGCACAGTAAAAAAGATTACACAACAATCTCCCCTGATAAGCAGAGATTAAAAACACATGCAATAAAATACAATTGAATTCAAGAACACATCAAAAAGAGCACTCGCCACAATCAATTTGGCTTCATTTCAGGGTTGCAGGGACAACCTAATTAGTATCTATAATAAATAACATAGACTCCAGGATGAAAGTCACACAAGCATTTCAACAGATGCAGGAAAGGCCTTTGACAAACTCTAACATCCCTACATCTTAAAGAAAAAAGACGCTGGGAATAGAAGCAGCACATATAAACATAATAAAGGCTATTTACGACAATTCTATAGGCAAAAAAGCACCAAGAACAAGACAAGGGTGTCCAAACTTTCCACCCCTGTTCAAAATAGTCCTTAAAGTCTGAGAGCAGCAAGGCATGAGAAAAACATAAAGAGAATACACACAGGAAAGGGCGAGGTTCAAGGACACTTACAGACTGTTTGAATGTTATTGGCCCCCAGAAGCTCTTATAGAGTGACACTATTAGGAGGTGTGGCTTTGTTGGAGACAGTGCGTCATTGTGGGGGTGAACTTTGAGGTCTCATATATGCTCAAGCCACACCTAGAGTCTCAGACTACTTTGTGTTGTCTGCAGGATCAAGACGTAGCCCCTCCTCTCTCAGCTCCCTCTCCAGCACCATGTCTGCCTGTGTGCTACTGTGTCCCGCCATAATGATAATGGACTAAGCCTCTGAGCTATAAGCAAGCCCTAACTAAATGCTTTCCTTTTTAAGAGTTGCCATGGTCACAGTGTCTCTGCACAGCAATAGAAACCCTAACTAAGACTCAGATGATATGATTCTATATGTAAAATGCTAAATACTCCACCAGTAAACTGTCACGAGTCAATAAACATTTTTAGTACACTGACAGGACACAAATTTAACATACAAAATCAGAAGCCTTAATATACACCAATGCTAAGCATACAGAAGCAGAAATCAGAGAAACGATACTTTTCACAATAGCCTCAAAAACAATAAAACACCTTGGAATAAACCTAACCAAGGAAGTGAAATTTTTATACAAAGCAAACTTTAAAATGGCAAAGGAAGGCATTGAGGAAAACACAGGAAAGACCTCCCATATTCATGGGTTGGAAGAAGTAATACTCTAAAAATGACGTCCTACCAAAATCAATCTACAGATTTAAAGCAACACCCATCAAAATCCTGGGGCCAGTCTTCACAGAAACAGAGAAAGCAATCTTAAAGTCCATACAGAGTATCAGGTGTGGAGATGTATACCTTTAATCCCAGCACTCAGGAGTCAGAAGCAAGGGAATCCTTTTTAGTCCAAGGCCAGGCTGGACTACACAGCAAGTTCCTGGATATCTAGAGCCCCGTGGTGAGACCCTGTATCCAAGAAAAGCATCAAATGAAAACATAAAATAATCTAGACAGCCAAAACCACCATGAGCAAACGCAATAATGCGAGCAACAGCTTGCTACCTGATTTCAAGCCATACTACAGTCGCAGGAGAAACAGCTTTGTACTGACCAGAAACAGACAGGTAGGTCTGCGGGCTAGAATAGAGGAGCCAGGTAGGAGCCCACACATCTACAGCCACCTGACTTTTTAATTAAAATATAATTAAATAATTCCCCCTCTTACCTTTCCTCTAACCCCTTTTATGACCCCCACTCTTTTCCAAATGCTTGGTCTCCTGTTTTTTAATTGCTATTGTTATACACACACACACACACACACACACATACAAACACATAAAACCTGCTGAGTTGTTCTAGTGTTGCTTGTATGTATATGATTCCAGGGCTAACCACTTGATAGCTGATAACCAATTAAAGGGGAAGATCCCTGGGTAAGACGAATGCTCCCTTTCTCAGCATTCTCCCATTCTCAGCAAAGGGGAAACACTTTGGAATATAGGTTTGTGCAAGAAATTTCTGACTAGCACAGCAATTAGGCCCAGCAATTGGCAGACTGGATTACTTTAAAGCACTGGTTTTCAATCTTCCTAACGCTGTGACCCTTTAATACAGTTCCTCATGTCGTGGTGACCCTCAGCCATAAAGTTATTCTTGTTGTTACTTCATAACTGTAATTTTGCTACCATTATGAATCATATTATAAATATCTATGCTTTCCAATGGTCTTAGGTGACCTCTCTGAAAGGGTCATTAGAGGCTGAATGACCCCTACTGCTTTCGGGGGGCCAGCCTCCAGCAGCACAGGATTTTCTGGGGGGCCAGCCTCCAGCAGCACAGGATTAACTGGGGGACCAGCCTCAGCAGCACAGGGCTTTCTGGGGGGCCAGCCTCCAGCAGCACAGGGTTAACTGGGGGGGGGCAGCCTCAGCAGCACAGGGCTTTCACAGGAATCCACGGAGTCGGCGAGGTTAAACTTTTCTATCTGAGGGGGTTAGAGAAAAAGGCACTCACAAGCTCTCTTAATCGTTTCCCTCTTTATTCTCTCTCTATAGTCTCTCTTTTTATTTTCTCTCTCCTCTCATGTTGTTTTACACATTTTATACCCCAACAGAATCTTCCAGACAGTACAAGAATCAAAATGATTGCATTCCATTTTTCAAGTGAACCATTACAGGTTAAAACATGTTTTTCATCTCCCTACATGACTAAACATTTTATGTATTACAGGTGAAAAACAAATTATCCCAGGAACCCACATACATTCATACCCAAACAACTTGTTATAGATTAACCATGGGGGCAAACAAGGTGTTCTCGTCATTTACTTACTGGCAGATTGCATTTTGCAATTACAAAGAAAGGGCCAATTACTTTATTAACTTATCTTGAAAGGTAATCTTATAAGGAATCACAAACCTAAACTTTTATATATGAAAAAGAATCATTCAGCTCTACTTTAAGTCTTTAGGGTACATATCCATTCACTAATCGTATGTGTGTGTATATACATATACATATATATATGCATATACACCAGGAGATTGGGGGCAGAAATGGGTACAAGGAATTAATCATCACGTCTGGTCATTAGCCAAATTTCGCAAGGAGAGTACTGCAGCCAGTAATAATCGGGCTGCTTTGTTCTTGTTCCCTTCTTGTTCCCTGACCTTAAAGAGTTCCGCGTTCAGCTAGCTATGTGTCTTTCTAAAACATTTCTTGGGTTTTTTCACCTCAAAGTTATTTAACAAAAACATCTTAGTCTAACTTTGTTATTTTTAAATCTTTGTTTCCGCTGTGATGCACTCTGAGACCCGTGAACACATCCTGACATTAAGGTTAAAAGAATTTAAACTAGCTGGGCTACTGGGACTCAATTGTTAGTCATTAACTTGAGTTATAGTCCATGCAGCGCCTTAGGTGAAACATATCCTTGTATTTATTTTTATCCAGCAAAACTCTGTATAAGCTATCATTATTTGTGTCAAAGTAGACAGTACAGCTTAGGGACAGGTCATCTTGACAATCCACAGGTAAAAATGCCCAGTAGAACAGGATGTTTCCAAGAGATAAACACACTATTCTACAGACAATGGAGATCTCCCCGCGTCCACTCACACCATGCTAGATACCAGAGAAAGAGAGCCACAGTAAACTAGTAAAGGCACAGAAGAAGCAAAAGACTTCTGGGGTCTGTAGTCCCGTGGTCTTGCCTAAACGAGACTGGCCCCTCAGAGGATTCTCTTCTGGTGGGCTGACACCTGGAACTTCAAGTACAACTTGTTGCTCCTCCGGCGTGGCCAATAGCAACACTCCCCCTACACACACCCACACACCTGTAGGTCACGACCCACGGTAGCTGAGAACCACTGGTGTAAGCCATATAAAGAACCACAGGAATTAAACACCAAAGCAATAAATGGGCCCAAAGGTGGATTCTCAATAGAAAACATAAAAATGATTAATAATTTTTTAAAGTGTTTGACACCCTTCTCTACCAGAAAAATACAACTTTGAGATTCTATCTCACTCCAGTTAGAAGAGTTATCATCAAGAAAATGTCAACAAATGCCTTTAGGGCCGCAGGGAAAGAAGATGTCTGTGATGAGACAGTGTAATGGACTGCAGCCACTGTGGAAACCAGGGTGGAGAATTATCAAAAAAAAATAATAGAAATAGCTCTTTTCTTTTCACAAGTGCAAGGAAACAGAATTAGCTTAGATGGGGGGCTGGAGAGATGGCTCAGAGGTTAAAAGTATTGCCTCCTCTTCCAAAGGTACTGAGTTCAATTCCCAGCAACCACGTGGTGGCTCACAACCATCTATAATGGGGTCTGGTGCCCTCTTCTGGCCTGCAGGCATACACACAGAGGGAATATTGTATACATAATAAACAAATAAATCTTTTTAAAAAAAAAGAAAGAAAGAATTAGCTTAAATGTCCACCAACCTTAGTTACTGACCTGGTCTTCATTCCTTTCCTCCATTTAATGACTGGTTGGTGTTTGTTCTTGTTTCCCAAAGTCCTCCATTATAACGTTATTTGTTAACATTTATTATTCAATATCAATACCCATTATTAACATTTATTTAGTTACATGTGTGTGCCTGTGCATTATGTATGTATGTCACATGTATGCAGGAGGTCAGAAGAGGCATCAGATTCCCCGGAGTTACAGACAACTTTGAGTCATCTTGTGGGTGCTAGAAGCTGAAACCAGGTCTTCTGTAAGAACAATAAGCACTCTTAACCCCTAAGCCGTCTCTCCATCTTTGTCTTTGCCTTGTCGTGTAGCCCGTGCTAACCTTGAACTGATTGCGTACACTTGGCTGGCCTCACACAGAGACTCAGCTCTCCCCTTCTTTTGCATCTGGTTTTGATGATCCCATGAGTTTAACTGGTTTTGCTTTTTTGAGCATGAGTAGGGAAAGAAATTGATATTTTAGCATTGGGGGAGTCCACACAGAAATTCTGGAAATACAAGAAAAGGAAACCCGGTGAATGGAACAGGAAAGCAGTGGAAATACCACCAATAGATTTGGCCAAGCAGAATAAAGAATATCAAGAATGGAGGATAAAATTGACTGTATTCAAACTCAATAAGAATTTTTTTTAATGCGTATCACACTGTCCAGCAAGTCTGGGATGCAATCAAAAGACCAAACCAAAGAATGCACAGAAGAAGGAGCTGAAACACTGAAGATAGAGAATTTGTCTATTAGTTGAATCCGAGGGTCCCTGCTGTAAACATTATTTTAAGATGTGTTAGATTTTTTTTGTGCTGTAGAACATTCTTTAATGATGCAAAGATGTGTTGCATTCTTTTATGTTGCATTTGTTTAATTCTGTGAAGCTGTGTTACTTTGTCTGTCTGAAACATCTGACTGGTCTAATAAAGAGCTGAGCAGCTGATAGCTAGGCGGGAGAAAGGAAAGGCGGGGCTGCCAGGCAGAGGGAACAAATGGCAGGGAAAATCTGGGAGCCAGGTAAGATAAGCAAGAGAGAAAAAAAGGAGCGAGAAAAGAAGGGGTCAGCCACCCAACCAGACATGGAATAGGAAGAAAGGATGTGCATAAACATTGAACTTCAGGTCCCAGTGTCAGATTCTTGAGTAGACAATCAGTCATTAAGTATTTATGCACAGTACACGCTGAAAGAGCAGTGTGCATTTTCCTCCTCAACGCCTCTCCATCCCCGAGTAATAAGAAGCCGGCTTTACTCTTCAAGCGCTTTCCCAGATGCTGTTAAAGCCCCGATGTCCAAGTCATGTGGCAAGCCTGTCACTGCCCAGGGAAATTTTAAAGTTCCCGTCAAAACCTTGCAGCTTACAAGCAAGTCATGGTGATGGGTGGAGGAGGTTACCATGGAGACAGGTCCAGGGCCAGGGGCTCGGGATGGGGAGGCCCGGGTTCAGCTTCCCATTGGCTCTATGGACGCGCAGCGTTCCAGTAGCACATGCGCAGTGGCGCCGAGGCGAGGTCGCTGCGAAGCCCAGGCTCTGGGGGTTCCGGCCCGGGCCTCTGGGGACCGAGCTGGGACTGGCGCGTCCTGGCGGCTCCCGGCTCCTCCCGGAGGGGAAAGCGGTGAAGCTGAGTCCCCCGTGCAACTCCGGGTCGAGCCTGCCACGCAGGCGCCGGCCACGCCGCCGCCATTGTTGCCCGTGCTGCGTGGACGGGGCCGAGCGACAGGTACTGATGTCCCCGAGAGTGTCCACGGGGAGGCCGGGCCGGGGCGAGGCCGGGAAGGGGAGGAGGCTGGAGGCGAGGCCTGAGCATCTCCTCGGGGCATAGCTGCGGATGGGCTGGGAGTTGGAGCCCTGGACAAGTGCCTGTGGGTTCTTCTCCGCGTCAGGATACTTGCAGGGTTGGCTTTGGGGACCGTGCACTCGGTTTATACTTGAGGAGGCTCCTGAAACGGCCTCCAGTCACGGTCCGACGGGCTGGTTTTCTCGGCTCAGAGAGTAGACTATGCAAGACAGATAAATAGATCGCCTTGGCCCCACCCCCACGAGGGTGTTTGGAAACCTCCAGTTTGTCCCAGTAATCGCAGATTTGCTCTGTTGCTGAGAACATCGGGAACATCAGTGACTAAGACAGTGAAACGTTTCTTTCTGTAGGATGATTAGTTTTTAATAAGTTAGAAATTAACCATTCTGCTAATAATTCTTTGAATTATTGCCTCTGCCACCACTATCCATACACACACTTGCACCTCTGGGATGAGTATAATCTAAGTCCAAGGACAGAGGCAAGGAAGACGAGGGTGAGTCCGAGGTGTCTGTCTGTGCACTCTGCAGAGTCTGCCTCTGTGCCTGTGATGAGTAACATCGTACACCAGGAATTCTTGAGCTTATGGTCCCTTCTTTTTGTTTTTCGAGACAGGGTTTCTCTGTAGCTTTGGAGCCTGTCCTGGAACTAGCTCCTGTAGACCAGGCTGGCCTCGAACTCACAAAGATCCGCCTGTGTCTGCCTCCCGAGTGCTGGGATTAAAGGTGTGTGCCACCGCCGCCCGGCGTATGGTCCATTATGCTGGATAGTTTTAGGTCAACTTGACACAAGCTACAGTCATCTGAAAGGAGGGCCCCTCAATTGAGGAAAAGACTCCTTAAGACTGAACTGTAAGCACACCTGTGGAGCATTTTCTTTTGATTGATTGATGGGGCAGGGCCCAGCCCCATTGTGTTTGGAGCCATATGTGGGCAGGTGGTCCTGGGTTCTATAAGAAAGCAGACTAAGCAAGCCGCAGAGATCAACCCAGTAAGCAGCACCCTCCATGGCCTCGGCATCATTTCTGGCCTCCAGGTCCCTGCCCTGTTTCAATTCCTGTCCTGACTTCCTTTGACGAAAAGTGTGATGTGGAAGTGTAAGCCAAATAAACCCCTTCCTCCCGAGTTGCTTTAGCCCGTGGTGTTTCATCCCAGCAATAGTAACCCTAACTAATAAACAGGAGCTAGAAGTGGGTGTTCCAATCACAGACCTGTCCACAGACCTGTCCACATTGTTTTAGCGAGGATTGTGGAAGGACGTTGGAACTTTGAGTTTCGAGAGCTCAGTCAGCTGTTCTGTATGTAGGAGCTGAAGGTAAAGGTGTGGGGAACATGGCAGGTGATGGAGGCCTGGCTTGTGAGATTTCAGAGGGAAGCAAACTTGGGATTTTGTGTGGAGGATCTTTAGTGTCTGATTAGCTGCAACTGAATAGTCTTCTGTGATTCGGAAGAGACCGTCACTGAGGTGAAGTCTTCTGGGAAGTGTCTCCTCGGGGTCAGGCACACAGAAGCTGTGCCAGAGGCAGCCAAGGTTCTGTAAATGGCAGAGAAAGAGTCACTCAGGTGGTACTGGTTTTGATGATGTGAAGGAGTCCTGAAGAGCAGCTTAGGCTTGTCAGTGTGTGGCAGGGCCAGCATCCCTGAAGAAAGTCCAGGAGAGGCTGTCTTAGGGTTTCTCTTGCTGTGACGAAACACCATGACCAGAAAGCAAGTTGAGGAGGAAAGGGTTTATTTGGTTTACATTTCCACATCGCTTTTCATCATTGAAGGAAGTCAGGACAGGAACTCATAATGGAACAGGAACCTGGAGGCAGGAGCTGATTCAGAGGCCATGGAGGGGTGCTGCTGTCTGGCTTGCTCCCCTGGCTTGCTCTACCTGCTTTCTAATAGAACCCAGGACCACCAGCTCAGGGATGGAATGACCCACAGTGGACTGGGCCCTCCCCCATCAATCACTAGTTAAGAAAATGCCTTATAGCTGAATCTTACAAAGGTATCTTCTCAGTAGAGGTTCCCTCCTTTTGGATAACTCTAGCTTGTGTGTCAAGTTGATGTAAGAGTAGCCAGCACAGAGGCTATTGGTGAAAGGACAACCCAGTGTCAGCAGGAGACCCTAGCATTTTTGAGTACCATGGGGTGATCACCGAGATACAGCAGCAGCAGTGGAGTGAAGCCAGCGGGAGCCTAGAAGACGAGCTTTGTGTGCTGCAGAGGACAGAGTCAGAAGTGACCCAGGCCTTTTGGAGGAGCCCAGAAGAGTGTGAGTGGATTCCAGACATTGGACATTGAGTTATTTACACAATTGAAAGTTCTTTTGTGTGCGTGTTTGTTTTGTTTTGCCCTGAAACTCATTCTGTAGACCAGGCTAGCCTTGAACTCACAGATCGACCTGCCTCTGCTGCCTCCGAGTGCTGGGATTAAAGGTATGTGCCACCACCACCCAGCTGGTTTTGCTTTGGTTTGTTGTGACTGTGCTCTGGTTCTCTCCTCTTGAAATAAGAAAGTCTTTAACTTATTTTTTATTTTTAGGAGCGCACAGTTGAGAGAGACTTTGGATTTTAAAAGAAACTAAATATTTTAAAGTGTTTGGTTTTTGGAATACTTGTGGAACTTTTGAAGTTTGAAAATGTTTTATATTGTGATATTGTTGTAGAATATTATTTTAACTAGGCAAAGATTGTCACATTTATTTATTCTGTGGAATATTACTTTAACTGTAAAAGTGTGTTATTTGGTTATACTGCATTTGTTTAATGATGTAAAGATGTATTTTTTAATATTTATTTATTATGTATACAATGTTCTGTCTGTGTCTATGCCTGCAGGCCAGAAGAGGGCACCAGACCCCATTACAGATGGCTGTGAGCCACCATGTTGTTGCTGGGAATTGAACTCAGGACCTTTGGTAGAGCAGGCAATGCTCTTAACCTCTGAGCCATCTCTCCAGCCCCAAAGATGTGTGTTTAATCATGTAAAGATGTGTTACATTTGTTTTACCTTGCCTGCCTAAGTACCTGATTGATCTAATAAAAAGCCAAATGTCCAATAGCTAGGCAGAAGAGGGATAGGCTGAGCTCTGGGGCAGACAGAACAAATAGGAAAAAAGAACAAGAGAAGAAAGAAGAGAATGAGGATAAAGAGAGGGAAACCCAGGGCCAGAAGCCAGGCATCACCAGCCAGACACAAGAAGCAGTGAAAGTAACATATACAGAAAGAAAGAAAAGTAAAAAGCCCTGAGGCAAAAGGTAGGTCAAGAAACAGGTTACTTTGTTAAGAGAGCTAGCCCGAGAGGAGCCTAGCTAGACCATGCGTTCATAACTAATAAGTCTCCATGTCATGATGTGGGAGCTGGTTGGTGGCCAAAAGAAAAAGCCTAGTTCATGATATCAGATGATATCAGTATTAATGTGTGATCTTGGGGATGAACAAGAAAAGAAAGTTGTGACTTAACAGTGATGTGTTCGTGTATCAGTTGTGCTGGCTAGTTTTATGTCCACTTGACACAGCTAGAGTCATCTGAGAGGAGGGAGCCTCAATTGAGGAAATGCCTCCACTAGACCATGCTGTAGGGCATTTTCTTCATTAGTGACTGATGGGGAGGACCCAGCCCATTGTGGGTGGTGCCATCCCTGGGCTGCTGGTCCTGGGTTCTATAAGAAAACAGGCTAAGAAGGCCATGGAGAGCAAGCCTGTAATCAGCACCCCTCCATGGCCTCTGCATCAGCTCCTGCCTCCAGGTTTCTGCCCTGTTTGAGTTCCTGTCCTGACTTCCTTCCTATGATGATGAACAGTGATGTGGAAGTGTAAGCCAAATACACCCTGTCCTCCCAAGGTGCTTTTGCTTGTGGTGTTTCGTCACAGCAATGGTAACCAAACTCTGGCAATTCTTGTGTTTCAGGGTCTCCTTCGTCATTTCAAGTTCTGGACTCAGAATCTGTTATAAGCTGCTAGCTTTTCTGTGGTTCCATTCTGGCCTTGGTTGCAGCAGCCCCTGAGGGAAAAAAATTATTATGACGGTAGCATGAGTCTTCAAGCAATTGGCTCAATACTGAAAAAATAAAGGATCCTACCAGATTGGTTCTCCCGTCTATAGCAATGTTAGCCTCAAGAAAGAGGATGGCCAATTCTTCGCGCTCACAAGTCTTTCTAATGTGGAAGCCAGACAAGGTTCAAAACGGGCCCTGCAGTGTTGAGAAGCAAACACTCACTTCAAGACTCTTGCATGACACTGAGACCTGTCGACAGAATTTTAGGAATTTTCCATACCCAGATGTGGCGGGTCCTCGGAAAGCACTTAGTCAGCTCCGAGAGCTCTGCCGTCAGTGGCTGAGACCCGAGGTTCACTCCAAGGAGCAGATCCTGGAGCTGCTGGTGCTGGAGCAGTTCCTGACCATCCTGCCCGGGGAGCTCAGGGCTTGGGTAAAGTCTCAGTGCCCAGAGAACACTGAGGAAGTGGTGACTCTGGTGGAGGATTTAACGCAGATTCTAGAAGAGGAAGGTGAGAACTGAACAGAGATGGGCAGACTCCGTGGGTGGTTAGGGAAGACACGTAGCACCTCTGAGAGCAGCCCCTGCCCTAAATAAAGATCAGTGAGAATGAGCTTTAACATGAGGCCCATCCTGCATTGTGTCCTCTTCCAGAGTACGTGGGCCACTGTGACTTGTACCATTATGCTAATAAACCATCAGTTTTATGAATTGGGTTTTACAGAAATATACTTCCAAAATAGAAGTTCAAAGATCATTCACGTATTGAGACATCTCACAACTTTGTGTCAGAGATGTAGAGAGCAGGAGATATACTTAGCCTGACGGTGGAGGGCTGAATTCACATACAAGGTTCAGGGTTCAATGTAGAGAAGTATGAATTTTGTGCACGTGCTCAGTGCTGAAGCGGGCTTGTTTCTGCGGTCTGCACTGATGTGTTAGCACGGTCCTGGGCCTTTGCTCCGACTCTGAAGTGTTAATGACATTTTCAGTTGTCCTCTGCCTCCTCACGTTGAGAAAGTGTAGACATGCCTGGTAAAGTGTGTTCCAGACCATGCAAACAGACTAATCATCATTGTCTTCCCCAGCTCCTCAGAATTCTGCCCTTCCCCAAGAAATCCCAGAGGAAGACCCCAAACATGCTTTCCAGGCAGGGTGGCTCAATGACTTGGTGACCAAAGTGAGTTTGACTTTCTTTTGTGATTTTAAATTTGCTTTTTAGTGTATGAGGACATCTTGTCCTGGGCCTATAGCTGCTAAGCCCTCAAAAGCCTCATTCAGAACCTAGGCCTCAGTTTCCCTTGTAAGCACATGTGCCTCCCTTGTCCTCATCACTGTGACCTCAACCACCTTTATGGGGTAAAGGTTAAGAAGAGACTGACCCCACAGCCAATGGGATGGGGGAGGGAGGCAGTTGACTCTGACCCTACAGCCAGATGAGATCTAGAGTAAGGGAGGTTGGCTCTGCTATTAAATCTATGATTTGAGACAAGAGTCTTAACCACTCCTGGCCTAAGTTATACGGTGCCAAGAAGTAGACTTTACCTTTTGGATTGTGGGCTCTGAGTATGAGTTATCTGGTTATCCTAGACGATAGCAGTGGTTGCTGATATCTTTCTTCATCAAAAAGTAAAGGCCAAATATTCTGTGACCCGCTGTTAGAATGGTAGTCTCTTGTTCAAGCAACATTAAGAGGAGGATTTATTGGAGGGGGGTTTATATATATATATGTGTGTGTATATGTGTGTTTGTATGTAAAGCCTCTGTTACCTAGACTATGATTTTTTTATAGATGATATAAACATATTTACTTGGAAAATCAGAAAACCAAGGGGAAATGTGTTAGAAATAATAGAAACAGATGTCTATAGAAAATAGCATGCAAAAATGTAACCCATGTTATGTAAAGATCATATGATTAAAATGAAATATAAGATTTAATCAGTACCATACATGCATAAACACAAAAAGAAAACCTTAAAATAGCTAGAACTAAGTCTAGTATGGATTTTGAATTATTTTCATGTCCTTTGTCATTTTATGGGACATAAAAAAAACTTAAATAATTGCAAAGCTGTTATCTCCCTAAATTATAAACTTAGTATGATTTTTCCTTCTCAGTTTTTCAGCTGGGCAGGGTTAAGGCAGTAATGTCCTGTATGCAAGGCCAGCATGGGCTACACACTAAGACCTTGACTCAGAGTTACAACTGAGAAAAAGGAGCATGCCAGAGTAATGAAGAACCAAATGGTGCACAGCTTTAGTCCCAGCACTGGGGAACCAGAGGCAGGCGGATCTCTGTGAGTTCAAGACCAGCCTGGTCCTCAGTGAGTTCTAGGATATCCAGGGCTACATAGTGGAGACCCTGTCTTAAAACATTTTTTGATGTCCCACTGAGAAACCCTATCTTGAAAAACAAACAAACAAAAAATGTTTTGGTTGTGAACTTAGCCTTTAAATGCTGAGCCATCTCTCTCCAGCCCCCTCAAAAATAAAAAAATAAAAGAAAATTATTTAACAGGAACACAAAGTAAAGGTGTCTGCAGATGCAGCAACCCCACAGGAAGAACGAGAATGAGCTCTGCGTGTCATTGTGGAGCATGTGCATTGTTAATTACAGCCTGTTGAGTTTATTCTTCAGGCAAAACCAACCCTGTCACCCAGTTTTCATCCTTTCTTCTGGGCTCGAGAGGTGACTTGGTAGGCAAAGTGCTTGCCACACAAACATGAGGACCTGAGTTTGGGTCCCTAGAACCTACAGAAAGCTAGAAGTGGTGATGCGTAACAGAGCTCTAGTGCAAGATAGGCAGCAGAGACAGGAGAATTCCTGGGAGTTCGCAGGCCAAACAAGAGGTCCTGTCTCAGATAAGGTAGGAGGTGATGGCTGACACCTGAGATGGCCCTCTGACCGCCGCACTTCATGTCATAGGCATGTACACACACACACACACACACACACACACACACACACTGTTATTTTCTTTTCCTTCAGTGCTAGGAATGGAATCTGAGTCTAGAGTCTCCTAGACAAGGCGTCTACCACTGAGCTTCACCCAGCCCTTTTATTCTTTAAGATGGATCCATTAAGTGCATGTGCTAGTGTCTGCTGAAAACAATATATTCCACCTTATTTTTAAATGTCCCTTTAAGGACCTCTTAAGGATACTATGGAGTCAGCCACACATTGAATGAGGGTTTTCAGACCTTGGTTTGGTTGGTTGGTTGGTTGGTTGGTTGGTTGGTTGGTTGGTTGGTTGGTTGAAGACAGAATCTGACCCATGTAGTCAGGCTAGCCCAGACCTCACTGAATGCTGGTGGTACAAGTGTGGCCCACCACATCCAGCAGGATGAGACTTAAGGTTCTGTGACTTCCACCACAGACTCACACCCAGTGTCCCCGTAAATCAGCTGAGCTAAGTTATGTTTGATATTTTAGGAATCAGTGACATTCACAGATGTGGCCGTGGAGATCACCCAGGAGGACTGGGAACTGATGCGCCCCGTTCAGAAGGAACTGTATAAGACCGTGACTTTGCAGAACTATTGGAACATGGTTTCTCTAGGTAAGGTCCACGTCTTTTCTCCCAAAAGGCCTGCACAGATTGTTCCTACCCCTCCTTACTAAAATCAGGATAGGCCCCTAGAGGACCTGACTGACGACACAGTCTAGAGGTGAGAAGTCTCCTTCAGGCACAGAAATGGTCATATTCTACTGTTCTCCAAAAGAAAGGCTTGCTGGGTGGGGCGGTGTGCACCACAGTGCACAGCTGTCCAGTGTTGCACTGGGCGCTCTCACACCTCGTTCTCCTGTTAGGTCATATCCATGAGCCACTGTCTCCTCACGGAAGCCCGAGTAGCAGTCAGGTCCTGAGGGCACAGCTCCTCATCTCAGGATAAACTCCTTCTGTTCTCCTAACCAGGACTGACTGTCTACAGGCCAACTGTGATTCCCATCTTAGAAGAGCCGTGGATGGTGATAAAGGAAATTGTAGAAGGCCCTAACCCAGGTGAGGAGAAAAGCCGGCTCATGATTTTACACTCAAGAATCTGTGTCCTCGGTGTATTGATACTCAGTTCATATGCATAGCAAGATGACTGCAGAAGCATCCAGCTGGTCCAAAACTCAGAGCTGTTGGTGCCACTGCCTTATGGGAAGTCTTCAGGAAGTTTCTGAGCATCATTAATGCCTTTGCCAGTGTCTGCACATTTTATCCTCAAAGATCCCAGATCCCACCCATCTCTAGGGCTTCACTGTGCCATTCCCCATCCCTCGACATATAAGTGTGTTAGTAGTCAGGGCTCTCTAAGGAACAGAACTGACTGAATGAAATAGATTTATATGGGAGGTGTGTGTGTATATACATGTTTGTTTATTTATTTCTTTGAGTGTAATTTAAATGCTATGATCTAAGTAGTCCCACAATGGCTGTCTCCCAATAATAATGCCAAGAATTGCCTAGCAGTGGTAGCACATGCTTTAATCCCAGCACTTGGGAAGCAGAAGCAGGTGGATCTCTGTGAGTTCGAGGCCAGCCTGGTCCAGAAAGTGAGTTTTAGGACATCCTCCGTTACACGGAGGAAACCCTGTCTCAAAAATTTTTTGAGTCCATGACACCGGATGTCTCAGCAGTCCCAGTATGGTGTGGAGTTCCAGAGAATCCCTAGCGTGTCTGCAGTCTGCACTGGGCTCCTGGGGAATTTGGTCCAGATACCAGTGAAGGAATGCCTCAGCAACTGGATAGGTGAATTTGTCAATGACACCTATCCACTAGGCCAAAGCAAAATCTTCCTTCTTCTCTGCCCTTTTATGTGGGCTGCCACCAGAAGGTGTGACTCAGGTCTAGGTGGGTCTTCTCACCTCAAGTGATCCAATCAAGAAAATCCCTCCCGGGAGTGCCTGGCCACTCAGGTTATAGCTGATTCTAGATGTAGTCAAGTTAATGACAAAGATCAACCATCATAAGCAAGTATAGACAGCCACAAAAAGTGTGTATTTCAGACTCCCATGGTATTTTGGGGTTTTTTTTACTCTATTTACCAACGAACCCTCTTGTCTATGTGTAGGCAAAGTGTCTCGCCTGCACACAGCCCTCTGTCCTTCTGACTAGCAGCCCCTGTCTGTTGAATATGCCTGAGATCCACTGTTATATAGAAATCTGGAAGATAAGTCTGTCTACACCTCCAAGACAAAACCTGGGTTTTTAAGTAATTGCTAATATTTCAAAATAAGATTCTAGTTTGATCCTAGATACACTTGTCTCTGACATTGTGTTTGTTTACAGGGGAGGGTTTTTTTTTCATATAAAGTCAGGATAAAAATCTTGTCAAGGACTGGGCATATAACTCAGTGAGGAGCACCTCCCAGCATGCACAGGGCCCTGGGCTTGATCCCCAGCAGTAAAAAAGAATAAAAAGGATTGTATTGATTTTGTTAAGCTCATTTTACAGTATAAAAGATATCTTATTGATATTACAATCTTGTTTTTTCATGTGATATCGTATCCTGAAAACCATCTACCAGTAATGGTATAACCAAACCAAACACCAGTAATCCCAGCACTCAAGAGTCTAAGCAAGAGAGTGGCAAGTTCAGAGCCACCCCTGATGAACAGGGAGGCCCTTTCTCAAAAAGCCTTCTTTAAAAGCACTCAGTAATTATGGAAAGATCTGTTTCATTCTTTTTAGTTTTCCACTTCAATCCCTCCATTCTTATCTCCTTAACAGTAACTTGATTTTGAAAGACTTCCAACCTGTAGAAAGATGGAAGCTTGATACATGGAACATAGATTGCTTTTCATCTTGAGCCATGATTTATTATTGCTTATTTGAATGTCACAACGATGTGCCTTTTAAATATGTTCTCCCAGTTCAGAGTCTCATCCTCCTCCTGCTATCTCCCGTCTTTAGTCTCTTCCTATGTAAAAACTGTCCCAGCCTCTTTTCTCTTATTGGCTGATCCAGGCTGTCCCCTTTTCTGTTTGTTTGTTTGTTTGACTTACAAAGGAGCAGGCTCCCTTGTGCTTTCACACAAACTTGGTTTTGATCAGTCTAGTCTCGTACTCCTGCCTCTCCTTTCTCCACCGTGCCCCACCGTCCACCCTCGGTGCTCCCCCTTCCCTTTCACAGCTCCTGTGTTCTCCCCACCTCAGGGATCCCATTCCATCTTCCTGGCCATTGCTCACATTTATATGTGATGCGTGTTTAACAACAGGAATCTCAGAGACCAGGGAAATGTCTCTACATTTTCCACACAAGCCCGGTGACCTGAGGTTGATCTTTGGAACCCACATAAAATAGAAGATAACACAAAATTGTCCTCTGACCTCCACACACATGGCTGTGGCACATGTACCCATATACATATACCATGCATACACTGTTCTGGAATTTGCTTTGTAGACCAGGCTGGTCTTGAACTCACAGAGATCCACCAGCCTCAGCCTCCCAGGTATTGGATTACAGGTGTGCGCCACCACCATCCGGCTTTATTTTCTAGTTAAATGAAAAGGAAAGCATTATAGGAACTAGGAGCCAAATATGAGAGAAAACTCTATCAGAAGTCTATGTCCTCCTGAGTCGGGGTTACCTCCCTAAATTCACAGAATTCCACTGTACCACATCATCCTCGTCATTACCCATCCGTCAGCGAGCATCTAGGCTGACTCCAGTTCCTTGCTGGTGCAGTAAGAGCAGTGAGCACAGACAAGCAGGTCCTTTGAGTGCTCAGGAATGCCAAGCTGTGACATAACAGATCTTTTTTTTCCTTTTTTTAAGTTTTTCATAATGATATTTTTAAGGGTCTAAAATAGTCTTGTTTACAGAGTGATCCTGATTTCCCTGCTTCCTCATGAATAGATCCAAGTTAAACTGTTTGTTATTTCTTTGACCATTTGTCTGTTTGTGACAGGGTCTCACTGTGTAGTTCTGCCTGACCTTAACTCACATCTCTCTGCCCCTGCCTCCCAAGTGCTGGAGTTAAGAGTACCAGCACATCCGGCCTCAGAGTAAACATTTTGCTCCTAGTTTTTCAAAGGCAATGGACTTTCCATGTGTTTTCTTCAGCCACACAATGCTGATCACTGTTGTCCCTGGCGATGGTCAGTTTGCTAAGGCGGTGTCTCCCGGGTCTCTACTTTAAGAGGGTGTGCTTGTCCCTGTAATCGTTTGTGCAGTTTGCTCTCTGAGGCCACGTGGCTGTTGCATCCCTTGTGTTGTGCTGTTTGTACAAGAGTGAGCTCCTAATGGTCATTCTTAGACATGATGAGTCGCATTCTCCTGTAGACTCTACCTCTTTCTTCCTATCGTGGTTTTATGTATGAACCAGTATTGACTAAACAATTTTTAATTCAAATTTTTAATACCATTATTAGTCTGTTAATTCTTGGATGTTGACATTGTTGTTAGCTTATTTTGTTTTTATCTGGCTATTCAGTTGTTCCTTCAGACCCACTAGTTTCTGAGTGTGCCCTTGCTCCTGGCACAGAGCAATTTCTCTATGCTCATCTTGTGCTTACCACAGACTGGACGTCTCCCACACCCCGGCTCATACTAATGTATAACAGCTCTTGAAGTCAAGATCTACACAGTGAGTTTTCCCAGGACTCTAAGTGCCATTGCTTCCATGCCTGGTTAATGGGTAGCAAGAGGAAATATGTAAATAGGTAGCTTTCTAGATTTGTTCTGTTTTTGTTTTTCAAGACAGGGTCTCTCTGTATAGTCCTGGATGTCCTGGAACTCACTCTGTAAGCCTGGCTGGCCTCCACCTCAGGGATCCTCCTGCCTCTGCCTCCTGAGTGCTAGAATTAAAAGTATGAGTTCATACTGAGGAGTCTAATTCCAATCCAAACCATGCATATTCTCACCCGCTTTGTGTCTTGTCTTATTCAGAATATAAGCTGGCTCAGGCAGCACCACTCACGGTCACTTCCTGTTCTGTTTCCACGGATGCTTTAGTTATTATACATCAGCGCTGCTATCAGTGATGAGTAGGAAGCTTACAGTTTCACTGAAGTCTTTTTATTTTGTCCTTATGTTATATCCACTAAGAATACACTCTCTCTTGTTTTTTATATTTCGATATATAAAAATCACTAACTTAGTTCAGAAATTAGGACTGCATAAAAAGATATAAACTCTGATGCTTTCTGTTCGCTTAAGATAACTATTTGTTTGAGTTCTCTTTCCTGTTTCTTTTTATAAAAGATAAATTAACATATTTTCTGTTCTATATATATACATATATATAAAGAACATTTTGTAATACTCGTTATCATTACTATTACTATTGTTATTATTATTTAAGTCACCAACTTGAATATCCATAATATAGCATTAACAGTTACTTAAACAATAATGACAAAATTCTATGTGCTTTCACTTTTTTTAAAAGGTTCATTGTTCAGTATATATTTTAAGGATTACTACTGGAAATCTAATTCTTTTCCATAACCACAGCATTTAATTGGTAGGATTTTTGTCAGTTTAATTGGCACATGGGAGAAATCATATGGAGTAACGAACTAAAGCCTCAGCTGGCGTCATGCTGGTCTCTGGGAGATGCCACCAGTCTGGGACCATTTGAATGAACTTCATAGCATGGGGGATTTGAGGCCATTTAGGAGCTTGGGTTAGTCTATAAAGTGAAGAAGGGGCCATTTGCAGTTATGTGTGAGAGCTTTCACTAAGCACAAAGACTGGGAAAGAAACCAAGTTCTTTTACATTTTCGTTTCTGGCTGGCCCTTGGTGCTAATCTCCTCTGCAAAGGGATCCTGTCGGCTCCTTCCAGCTGGGCCCAGTTTTGTCTTAGGCTTGGACTGCTGACACTCTCAAAGTGGCTGTTTAAACTCCTGGGCTGTCTGGGTAGACATCTCAAGTAGATTACCTCAGCTCTGGCTATCCTCCTGCCTCCTGCTTTTACCTATGTTTTGGCTGATGCTGAGGAGTTTGCTGTCTTGCCAGCTCAGAGATGAGTAGGTAGTTCAGCCTTTGATTAACATATCTCATTGATTCTACAAGAAGAGAGCCGGGTGTGATGTCACATCCCTTTAATCCAAACACTTGTGTGGCAGAGGCGGGCAGCAGAGTTTGTAAATTCAAGGCCAGTCTGAATTAGCTAGTTCACGTAGCTAGTTCAGGCCAGCCAGGGCTACACAGAGAGATCTGTCTACAATAAACAAATAAAGGAAACTGAAACATGGGTCTCTTGTCACTTTTAGTGTTGGTCTTTGGTGGCCATTACTGTCTTGTAACTTTTTTTGGTTTGATTTAGTTTTGGTTTTATTTACTTTTTTTTTTCTTTATTTTTTGGTTTTTCGAGACATGGTTTCTCAGTGTAGCCTTGGCTGTCCTAGAAATTAGCTCTATACACAAGCTGACCTTGAACTCACTGAGATCTGCTTGCCTCTGCCTCCTAAATTCTGGGATTAAAGTTGTGTGTTCAGCTCAGACCTTCTTTATTTGTATGAATATTTTGCTTACATGTGTGTATGTGTACTGTGTGTTTCTGATATCTGTGCAGGTCAGAAGAGGGCATCAGATCCCCTGGACCAAGAGTTAAGGGTGGTTGTGAGCCATCATGTGGGTGCTGAGAATCTGAGCAAGGGCAACAATTGCTCGTAACTGCTGAGCCACTTATAGTTCGTATTTGTACAGGACCTAGCCTGAGGCTCAATTCAGACCACACTATCTCTGCTGTGGCTTCTGTTTCTACCTGAATCAACACTGATTCCTTTTTTGAAAATATTAAACCACTTCTAGGCCTTATTAGCCAACAGATATCACCTGTAAGCAACCATTTTGGATAGATAGATACATACACATACTTACACTTTGATTCATGGACTCAGTTCCTGAATTTCTAATAAACTGATTTTCTTAAATGTACGTTTATTATAATAGTACCAGTGGGCTTTTGCTTTAAGCTTGTTGATTATAATTTGTGGTGTAATTCAGTGGTAGCACACTTATCTAGAATGTATGAGGGCCTGGGTTCAGTCGGGGTGTGTGTGTGTGTGTGTGTGTGTGTGTGTCCACGTGTGCACACACACGTGCTGAGTACTTCCTTTCTATACATATATAGATACTGTGACCTAACTACACAGAAGTTAAACTGAACTGCTAGGACCAGCTCGTTCTTCTTATCAGTGTACCTAATTGTTGAATCCAGCCGTTTCGTTCTTCTGGATCAGGATAATGGCCTGATTTGAAAGTTGTCTTTTAAATTTTTTCCTCTATTAAATACACACACACACACACACACACACACACACACACACACACACACATACTTCTAGCACTAAACAGCAGTAAAAGTAGAAAATTAGGAAAAGCAAACTACTATTTCTCCCTCCCCCTCACGGTGGCCCTTTCTCATTTGTCATTATCCCTAGACAGGCTCCACTGTCAGCTGTGATTTTGTATTTGAATAGATGTAATAAAAATGGTTTGTAAATTCATGAGTGTGAGGAAGCAGATTATATATGTGGCTTCTCCCTCAGCGATTGCCAGGACCCCATCCCTCAGACTATCAACATTTCCGTGTGTCGTTCATGTGGCATGTCTTTACAGAGATAAACCGGACTCCCTCCATCCCTCCAGATGCTGTTTCCCACCAGCCTTTGTTCCCGTGGTGTGCGGGCACAGCTTTTCCTAGGTGTGCCTAGACCTCCCTCCTCCTGCCGTCGCAGTTTCCACTCGAGCCCTGCTCACTGATGCAACATTTTCATTTTCATTGGCCACATTCTGACCTATTGAAGTGACCGGCTGGTAAAGTTACTATACCTTGAGCTGCATTTAGTTTCTGAACCATCCAGTACCTTTTCTTCATCATCATATTATATAACTAAGACAAGTTACATATTTCCCCACTTGGTTTCATAGAGGTGTAACAAGTTTGCTTTCAATCGTGGATTGGAAACCTAGCAGCAGCTATTGATAAATGCATACTTGAGTGCCCTGAAACCAGATTTTGGGTTAGAGGTTTTTGTTTGTATTTTGTATAGAGAAATTATCATTACAAGTTATTGTTATTTTTCTAAGTTCATTTGACTAGCCACCAAATTCAAAGTCCTGGGCCATTTTCTGAAGGAAATGTAAGGAAGATAAAAGCTATTTCCAGAATTTATATCTAAGTTGAAAATATAAGTTGTCAAAAGTGACACAAAGTTGTGAAAATGTAAGTCACACAAAGTAAAGTAAGTGTGTAAGGCCTTAGGTTCTGTCATTGTATTAAGTTGAACCACATTGAGATTGCTGAAATTCAGCCCTTTGACCTTTGAGGAAGACAGCTGACCCTTTCCTTCATCTCCTCTGTATTTAGATTGTAGGAAGAATGCTGTGAGGGGAACAAGGTGAACTACAAACATCTCCTTCAGTAGGTAGGAGCAGACAGTCTGGAATTAGCATAGTGCTGACAGACTGTGAACATAGCTTTGAACTTAAATTAAGTATCATATATACAAGATAGAGAAAGGTAAAAGATGGATCATTGGGTGCTAAATACCAGAGGAGGTATTCTGAACTCTTTTGGGGGTCCTTTTAGTCTTCAGGCTGCTTGTCCTCCCACTTCCACTTTGCTGTGGAAAGAAAGAGCCTTCTGTGTTTGCTAAAACAAATCATTCAGCCTCACTGCCAACGCCTCTTAAATAAATTTAGGACAGGACCCAATAATTTCAACTCATTTTCAGGTGACAGGGAAGCTTTCACGGCTAGTCCAGAGACATTGGATTCAGGAACCATTGTTTAAGACTGCTGGATAATTGAGAGTAGAAAGCACTCCAGGAACTATTTTGAGACTATTATATGAGCCGGACTTGGTAGCACACACCTTTAATTTAATCCCAGCACTCGGGAGGCTGAGACAGGTGGATTTCTGAGTTTTAAGACCAACCTAGCCTACGTGTTGAATTACAAGACTGCCAGAGTACACAGAGAAACCCTGTCTCCAAAAACCTAAATAAATAAGTGAATGAATGAATGAATGAATGATGGGACATTGTATGGTTGGTAGCCTAGCATAGTGGCACACACCTATAATCCCAGCACTCAGAAGTTAGAGGCAGGTGGATCTCTGTGAGTTCAAAGGCAGCCTGCTCTAAATAGGGAGTTCCAGAATAGCCAGAACTACATAGACCATGTCTCAAAAAGAAAACAAAAACAAAATCTATTATAATTTGGGCCTGTGCCTATAGATTGGAAGGGAAAATAATAAAGCATCACGCCTATTTTCTGAGATCACTATGTAATTTACCATGTATCCTGGTTTCTTTAACACTGTCACCTGCCTCCTCTGTGCACTTGGTACCATGCTGACTATAAGAAGCCTCCCGTTTTCAGTGATTTATCGCCTTTTCTAAGCACTCATTTTCCCTTTCTAAACTTTAAGGACCATAAAACGAAGTTATCAGAACTGTAATCTTCAGATATTTTTATTTGTATATATTTTGTTTCCTTTCTTTAAAGAGTGTAAGAATCTTACTTTTTTTATTTCAGAATGGGAAACAAAAGCCGAAGCACATATTCCATTAAAGGATCCTCCTAAATTCAAACAGGATGGAACCCAGACCATCAAATTGGAAGAAGTCTATGACTGTGATGACAGATTAGAGAGGCAATCAGTGTATGACTTCAGGAAGATTCACCTGGATGAAAGAGACTTCAGTTTGAAGTCAGAACGTTCAGAAGAAGACCCTACAGAAGACTATCTTAGTAAATACGATATATATAAAAATAACTTTGAAAAGCACACAAACCTGATTGTACAGTTTGATACCCAATCAGATAATAAAACTTCTCTGTATGATGAAAGCAAGCCAACATTCACTACTGTCTCATCTGGTGTTGTGCATGGGAAAATACTTCCTGGAGATAAGCCTTATTCGTGTAATGTCTGTGGAAAAAAATTTAGGAAATACCCATCCCTCCTGGCACACCGAAATAGCCATGCCAAAGAGAATTCGTATGAATGTGAAGAATGTGGGAAAGAGTTTAAGCACATCTCTTCCCTCATTGCACATCAGAGAATGCATACTGGAGAAAAACCTTATGAATGTCACCAGTGTGGCAAAGCCTTCAGCCAGCGGGCACACCTCACTATACACCAGAGAATCCATACTGGAGAAAAGCCCTACAAGTGTGATGAATGCGGAAAAGACTTTAGTCAGCGTGCACATCTTACCATACATCAAAGGACGCACACTGGTGAGAAACCATATAAATGTCTGGAATGCAGTAAAACCTTTAGTCATAGTTCATCGTTGATTAATCACCAGAGAATTCACACTGGAGAAAAACCTTACATATGCAATGAGTGTGGGAAAACGTTCAGTCAGAGTACACACCTCCTCCAACACCAAAAAATCCATACTGGGAAAAAACCATACAAGTGCAATGAGTGTTGGAAGGTGTTTAGTCAGAGCACTTACCTGATTCGACATCAGAGGATTCATTCTGGGGAGAAATGCTATAAATGCAATGAGTGTGGAAAGGCTTTTGCTCATTCCTCAACTCTCATACAACACCAAACTATCCACACTGGCGAGAAGTCCTATATCTGTAAGGTGTGTGGGAAAGCCTTCAGCCAGAGTGCAAATCTTACTCAGCACCATAGAACACACACTGGAGAGAAGCCGTATAAATGTAGCGTGTGCGGGAAAGCCTTCAGCCAGAGCGTGCACCTTACTCAGCACCAGAGGATCCACAATGGAGAAAAGCCCTTTAAATGTAACGTATGTGGGAAAGCGTACAGACAAGGTGCAAATCTTACTCAGCATCAAAGGATTCATACTGGAGAGAAACCCTATAAGTGTCATCAGTGTGGGAAAGCTTTTATTTATTCTTCATCGCTTAATCAACACCGAAGAACTCACACTGGAGAGAGACCCTATAAATGTAATCACTGTAACAAAGATTTTAGCCAGAGAACTTGCCTTATTCAACACCAGAGAATTCACACCGGAGAGAAGCCCTATGTGTGCCGAATATGTGGGAAATCCTTCACCCAGAGTACCAATCTTATTCAGCATCAACGTGTTCATACGGGTGTCAGGCACCGCAGCAGGTGCCAGATACCACAACTAATGGATATGACTTTGTTTAAGCTTTAAAACTTGATTGCTTAAGTTTCATTTCGTGTGCTGTGTCAGACTATTCAAGAGAAAGCTGAAGTGCAATATGCTGATGCCACAGTATCAGGAGTCCCAGAATTAGCAAAGTGGCTCTCGTCCATTTAGATTTTAGTGTGAAACCTGAATATCCATCAACTGCTTAGCTGTTGTATCACTTGAATTCATTCCAGAAATACTATGAAAGGATATTTTAAAATCTGTGACTCATCAACTCTTAGTATGTGTCAAGTATGTTTTATTGAGGCCTTATGACTATAACCTGGGCAAGTGTCCGTCCAAGTAGACCTCACACTAGAGAGTAATCCTGACATTATAGGAAAGAAGACAGATGTTCTGGAGCCTCGGCTTCATCCTAGCTTTGAAGCCTTAAAATAAGTAAAAGGTCCATCCCATTTTTTGGCTTCTTTTCCCATTACAACTAGAGGATGAGACCCGAAAGGATCTCCAAAGATTTCTCCATGACCACTGCTAACTGCACGTCCTCCAGGAAGAGGGGCAGTCTGACAAGGTAGAGGATCAGTGCATCCTTGACACGAACAAACTCAAACAGGCACAGATTAAACACCCCCAAGTTTAAATCATCTTTAGCACAACCAGATTCCTGGATTCTTAGTTTCGCTTGGTTTTTGACAGCCAGCATCCCCCTGAAGAAAACAATGACAGGTTTACCATTCCCATTTTTTTTCCAGCAAGCTTTTAAATTGAGAAGTTTCTCCGTGGCTCTTAATGTAGCTAAGCCATTTCTTTCATTGAAATACATTTCCTGAGGGCCTTCTGTGCTCAAGACAAACTTTGAACCTTTTCCATTAACAAAGATCTTTAGAGTAAAGAAAAGGGAAGGACATGCTCCTAACTACTTTGCCACGGAACAAGCATAATCCTACCTAAGTAAGTTGCCAATGCTACCCATAAGCCAAGTTGAGTGAGCAATGAACATAGCTTTACAAATAACGTGAGACTAAGTGATAGAAAAGGCTCCAGTCCAGTGCAGAGGTGGCGAGGGAAAACCAGGCTGTAAAGGAGCGAGGAAGGGAATTATGTAAGCAGCTGTGTGACATGAAATATAACTGGACCCCTTTACCTAAGGAAATAACAGTGGTAAAAGAAAAATTAGCCTGTTTATAGGAAGCTAAAAAGGAAATTATTTTCAGCAAAAACTGGAATCCTAGTACTCCTTCACACATAGAAGTAATTAAAATAGAAATTACATTTAATGTGTTAGGAAAATATTTCATTGGGAAAAGCCTTGGTGCAGAAACTATCATTAATCAGTAATCACTGAACAATAACTGAGATCATGGGTCTTAAAAAGATTGGCAGGAATCGGTTTTTTAAGTTGCTGTTGTATTTACTGCCCGTAGCATCACACTGTGAAATGTAGAGCAGGGCTCCAGTTTGCTCGTTCTTGTTCCTCCAGTGCCTTGCATAGGATCAGTGTGCATTGGCTGAATTGATGGGTAAATTGTGTGAATTAGAGTTGAGTGGTAAAGTAGAACCACAGACGTGAAGGGAAATTGGCGAGACTGAAAAACAACTGTGTCCCTGCATCACGTGGTTAACAAATACCATTGACTGTGTAATAACAGCTTAAGAATGGAGCATCGGAAGCTGTGGGACATCATTGCCCAATGAAAGTTTCCTTAGCTAAATGAGAAGAAACAAATTCTGGTACCATAAATAACCTCAGCTTATATTGACAACACAGCATCAACTAGACACCACAGGAGGGGTTGAAGAAAGGTTGAGGTGCTGGCATCCTGAGGCTCTCTTTGTGGGAGTGGGTTTTATGTTTGTTTTTGTTGGTTTTGGTTTTTTGTTTGTTGGTTGGTTGGTTGGTTGGGTTTTTTGTTTTGTTTTTTTTGATACAGGATTTCACTGTGTAGCCCTGGCTGTCCTGGAACTCGCCCTATAGACCAAGATGCCTCTCTGCCTCCCTAGTGCTGGGATTAAAGGTGTGTCCCCACCAGCTGCCTTCACCACCGCCACCACCCAGCTGTGTTCTTAATGAAACTGTCACTTTCTCCTTTCCTGACATTAGTTATCCTTGACTTCATAGTATTCATAAAATACTGGTTTAAAAATACTTAGATTATGCTCATTCTGCAGTTCTGTTAAGAATAGCGACTGTGTTTTCTAGATGGGTCTTGATGTTGCTTCATGCCTTGCATAAAGCTTCTTTCTGCTGGGATGAAGATGGTGTGGTGCAGGCCCTGGGCGCTGCTTTGTGTTTCCTGCCTTCATGTGTTTCTGTAAATAACCTAAAGTCTTCCACTGCCACACAGAGGCAAGTAAGGCTTCTATAAAAAAAAAAATAGATAATAGTACAGAATCCTGTCTTTATGTGTGTTTCCCTCACTTTAAAGTTGTCTGGCCCATGAGTAATTCAACAGATTTTAACAAGTATTTCCCACAACTTTTTATGAGGAACATTGCTAAATATGTAAAAAAAAATTAACTGTACCAACCACCTATATCTTAAAGTTAATATTTTGCCATACTGAAAAGTAACTTAAAGACATTTCACCTCTAAATACATCTCATAAAAACAAGTCACGTAACTATATAACCTCATAGAAAACGGACAGTCCTTTCTAACATCTAACACCTAGTCTATTCTCTGATTTCCCCCGTTGAGCCAGTGCGTTTCTGCACACCCTCTGTTGGACCTGCTTCCTCCATCTCCACCAGTCCCTTCCATTGTTCTCAGGGTGTGTCCATTGTCACGTTTGGAATTTAAATAGTTTCTACGTGGCTAGCATGTGGTGTAATTTATGTTCTGGAGCTTCTGTAAATTAGAGGTTGAGGCCAAAGGCTTAACTGAGCTCAGGTTAAACATCTCTACGGTTGCAGTTCCTCCTCCGTTGCCAAAACTCACTATCAGGCCAACATACTGTTGGTGACATGACAATTGGCTGTTGAGGTGGTAAGCACCAGATTGTCCCGATGTGGTTCTTCCTGTTATGGGTAACCGTCTGTGGACTGACACTTGGGCAATGTGGCTGTCCTCTTAACCAACAGATTTGTACCTAGTCATGTTGTTCCCTAGTGGCAGTCCTTGCCTGGGCCAGCCTTTCCATTAGGTCTGCAAAATCAGTGGTTTTCTATTGCTCTTCCCACACTTGCTGGGCAGTAATCTGTGGGGAGGAATTTTCCTTCAATAGCTGAAAGTGCATCAGAAGTAAGACTAAGAGTAAGTTAGCTCCACTAGTTTTCCACTAGTTAACCAGTTTAGGAGGAGTGTGTGTGTGTGTGTGTGTGAGAGAGAGAGAGAGAGAGAGAGAGAGAGAGAGAGAGAGAGAGAGAGAGAGAGATCTATGGTGATGACAGATGAGTCGGTGTGTTTAGTCAGTTACAGTCACTGCTTCTGGCGTTGTCTCTGGTCTCTGGGTGCTTTATTACCTTCTAACACATGACATCTCAAGTTCATCCTACATCTCCATCGCCCCAAACCTGCATGGAAACAGCTCTCCTGAAACTCCTGGCTTCTTTTTATAATGAGCTATTTAGAAACAAGATCTGGGCATTAACACACACTCTTTGCAGCTGGAGTGGCATTAAGTGTTTCCAGCCAACTTTATAAAGAAATCCTCTCTTTGCTCATTTTTCTGTTTATATCTTAAGTATTTAATGAGAAATTCACTTTTGCAATGGGGCCCCTTGGGAATAAACCACCGGTCTTATCAAGCATCCAAGTAAACTGAACAAATACATGCACTGAAAGGAACAATTATGATCACAAAAGGTCTGGTGCAAGGTCATGAACCATTTGTTCGGGGGAAAGGAGTTTGTCAGTTAGCCTGGCAGTGGGTTAAGTGTAGGCCAGTTACAAAAGCAAGCAGGTATATGATAACTGCCTTTATAACTAACCTTTATAAGCTAATAACACCTTCCATCACCGCATCACTTGTAGTTGTGATGCTGGTTTGAACCTAGGACCTCTACTAGAGACACCACCAGATTCCTAACATATTTCTTTGTGTGTGTGTGTGTGTGTGTGATGTATGTATATGTATGTGGTGCACCTGGGTGAGTAAGCCAAAGGTCAGTGTTGGATGTTCTCTTCAATCGTTCTCTACCTTATTTTTTATTTGCTCTTTTTTATTTTATATGTATGGATGTTTTGCTTGCATGGATGTCTGTGCACTGTATGCACGCAGCCCTTGGCAACAACTATAAGAGGTCCTAAGATTCCCCTGGAACTAGAGTTACAGATGATTGTCAGCCACTGTGTGGGTTCTGGGACTCGAACCCTGGTCTTCTAGTAGAGCAGTCAAGTGCTCTTAACCATGACACCATCTCTCCAGCCCTCCATCTGAGTTTTCACACTGAAGCTGAAAGTCTCAGATTCCACCCACTGGCTAGACAGCAAGCCCCATACTCACCTGACTCCTCAGCACCAGGGCTCCACATTCCAGCACATCTGGTGTTTACATGTATGCCAAAGACCTGAACCCAGGTCCTCGTGGCCGCACCAACCACACTCCACCATCAGCCATCTCCCCAGGATCAGTTGAATGCAAACATCAGCCATCTCCCCAGGATCAGTTGAATGCAAACATAGTAGTGTTTTGTCTTTTGAGACAGGTCTCACTGTATAGCCAGACTGGAACTCATTATCCTCCTGGTTCAGCCTCCACAGTGCTAAAATTATTACCATGTACCAACAACGGGGCTTAGCCATAGTTTTGGTTTTATTTGAGTCTTAGTATTTAACCCTTTAATGTGTAATGATTCCTTTTTGTTCTTGTGTCTGCTCCATGCATAAGTCTGTAAATGGAATTTACATCCTCCATGTTGCTCTCAATAGGGCTCTGCGTTTCACCATATTTACTTGTCCCATTGAACATTAGAACCATAAAATGCTAAGCACATTCTCCTTGGTGATACGTAGAGTGTGTGCTAAGCATCATCTGGCACTGCACACTGTAAGCAAGGGCAGAGTGAGCCCACGGTGTTGAAGCGCCATTTCATAGGTCGCACAGTGACAGAACATGACTGGAAACCCGTACCTTCCAGCACTTGAGTCCTTGTGAAATAAGCACGCAGAAGCTCTAAATACAAATAGTATGTATATATAATTTTACAAAGTTATTAGAACATTGAAGGCATCTTTTGTCTGTTCTGCCTTTTCATATGTGGTTTCCTTACATGGGAATAGCTCAACTCAAGATGCAACTCCTGTATCTTGAAAATGTTCAGAACCATATTGTCAAGTGATCACCTGGAATACATGAAAAATACCTTACTTATTTGAAACTGAATTGTTTTAACCCAAAAAGGCCTTTTAAATTAACTGCACCACGTATTGGCTTTGTGGGAGCCTAGGTAGTTTGGATGCTCACCTTACTAGACCTGGATGGAGGAGGGTGGTCCTTGGACTTCCCACAGGGCAGAGAACCCTGATTGCTCTTTGGGCTGACGAGGGAGGGGGACTTGATTGGGGGAGGGGGAGAGAAAGGGGAGCGGAGGTGGGGAAGAGACAGAAATCTTTAATAAATTAAAAAAAAGAAAAAAATTAACTGCACCTGATGAGAAAGCTGGAAGCTAATATCTTCATAACTAGTTTAGACCTGATGATTTTTACAGAGTGATGTCCTTTCCTGAAGACCAGTCATAGACCATATCAAAATAAGATCTGTATCTAGAAGTAAAAAATATGCTCAGGCCTCTAATCCCAGCGCTTGGCAGGCAGAGGCAGGCAGATCTCTGTGAGTTAGAGGCCAGCCTGGTCTACAAAGCAAATTCCAAGACACAACATGGCTGTTACATAGAAAACTCCTGTCTCGAAATATTGAGAGAGAGAGAGAGAGAGAGAGAGAGAGAGAGAGAGAGAGAGAGAGGGATTATCTTACCCCACCAACCTTGATATGGGATGTCCTGTATATGTGTTGCTTTTTTTTAAAATATTTATTTATTTATTATGCATACAATATTCTGTCTGTGTGTATGTCTGCAGGCCAGAAGAGGGCACCAGACCTCATTACAGATGGTTGTGAGCCACCATGTGGTTGCTGGGAATTGAACTCAGGACCTTTGGAAGAGCAGGCAATGCTCTTAACCACTGAGCCATCTCTCCAGCCCCTATGTGTTGCTTTTATTGGTTGATGAATAAAGCTGTTTCAGCCAATGGCTTAGCAGAGTAAAGCCATACGGGAAATCTGAACAGAGATATAGAGAGAGAGTAGGTGGATTCAAAAAGATGCCATGTAGCTGCCAAAGGAGATAGATGCTAGGTCCTTACCAGTAAGCCACAGCCAGAAATTGGTTGATTTAAGATGTAAGAATTAGGCTGGGAGGTGGTGGTGGTGCACGCCTTTAATCCCAGCACTTGGGAGGCAGAAGCAGGTGGATCTCTGTGAGTTCGAGGCCAGCCTGGTCTACAAGAGCTAGTTCCAGGACAGGCTCAAAAGCTACAGAGAAACCCTGTCTCGAAAAACAAAAAACAAACAAAAAAAAAGATGTAAGAATTAGTTAATAAGAAGCCTGAACTAATAGACCAAGGCCAAGCAGTGTTGTTATTAATATAGTTTCTGTATGATTATTCCGGTCTGGGCAGCTTGGAATGAATGAGCAGCCTCCATCTACACCACCGGATGTTGATTTAAAATATGACCTCGTGAACCATCAAGATGGCTCATCAGGTAGAGGTGTTTGCCATGTAAGCCTGGTAAGGGAGAGAACCAACTCCACAGATTTGTCCTCTGACCTCCATGTCACACAGAGTACATAACAACAAAGGTTTGTTTTCCAGTGCTACCTAGGAGCTGGTAAATGTGTCGATGGGTAAAGAATTGCCCCACAAGGCTGATGACCTGGATCCAACCCCTGGAACCCACCTAAAGGTGGAAGGAGAGAACCAAGTCCACAAAGTTGTCCTCAGACCTCCAGACAGACATACACCAAGGCACATGTCCTCGCACACGTCACGCAGTCACATCACGATAATAGATTGTTAAAGCAGTCCTGGAAAGTGCATCCATTCTGAGCACCACAGATGCCTAGGGTCACAAGAACCCCTAATGTGGAGATGCTCCAGAGTACTAGGAAAAGCGAGGTGGTGGTGCAGGTGCTCACCTTTAATCCCAGCACTCCAAAGGCAGAGGCAAGCAGATCTGAGTTCAAGGCCAACCTGATTTACAGAATGAGTTCCAGGACAGCCAGGGCTACACTGAGAAACCTTGTCTCAAAAAAAAAAAAAAAAAAAAAAAAAAAAAAAAGAGTACTAGAAAACACGCCTACGGACTCACCCCTCCTAGGGTGGGAGCACTTGCAAACCAGAAAAGTGCCAAGAAGCACACAGGCAGTAAGGGCTATTTGGATGAAAGAGTCATTCAAACATCCATTATGCAAAGTCCTAGCCACAGAAAACAAAGGTATTCTATGGATTTACTGCCCTTGGGTCACTGCTGCTGTGATGAAACACCATGACCAAAAGCAGCGGGGGTGGGGGGGGTGGGGGGGGTTGTTTTGCTCACACTTCCACATCACTGTTCATTGTAAAAAGAAGTCAGGGCAGGAACCTGGAGGCAGGACCTGATGCAGAGGCGGTGGAGGGGTCTGCAGACTGGCTTGCTCCCCAGGGCCTGCTCGACCTGCTTTCTTCTAGAACGCAGGACCACCAGCCCTGGGGTGACACCACCCACAGTGGGCTGAGTTCTTCCCCATCGATCACTAATGAAGAAAAAGCCCTACGGGCTCACCTAAGCCTGATCCTATGAGGCATTTTCTCAGCTGGGATTCCCTCCTCTCAACTTAATCTTCTATCAAGTTGACATAAAAGTAGCCAGGACAGATACTTTCTCCTAGGATAGACTCTCAACCATACAATTTATGATATGAAGTAATTTATCATTAAAACATTCACACAAGCAGCCGCACAGACCCTGAAATTAATATTAATAATGGCCCCCAAACATATCCAAATTCCTGAACTTGTGAATGTGGAACTTTTTGTTTTGCTTTGCTTTGTTTTGTTTTTATGCAAGTGCCAGGATTACACTGGGGATTGAACTGAGCTTTTCGCGAGAGCTGGGCAAGCATTCTTACTTAATGGAAAGTGGTGGGGAAAGAGGGCTCATTGGGGATCCAGAGATAGGAAAAGTCGTCCTGCATTGCCTGGAAGTGCTAAGTGAAGTCACCAACGCATTGGAAGAGACAAGGGACAACTTGGCGAAGAGAAAGTAAACACACTCAAGCCACAGAGGAATACCAGCCACCGGAAAACGGCCAGGACGCGTCTCGATTCCACCACTAGAGGGGGCAACGGCTCCGACATCTTGAGGCCTCCTCGCTAGTGAAACCAGCAAACTCCTGCTCCGATACCGCAGTCCAGTTCTCTTGCTCAGCTATAGCTAGCCATTGCCAACTTCATGATTTATGCCCCCATATCTTGACATAAGAAAATATAGACACAGAGCCATTTTTCTGCTGCTCTTTGTTGGAAAACAAGTCGCACACGGTAGACGCATCTCTCCGCCTAGGGTTTTCACCTGAAAAGACACGGCAGATTCCCAGGAACTGTGTCTTAGATTTGCACCCCTCCGTGTGCCAACTTTCCCTGGATTATTTTCAAAGTCTATCTAACACAAATTTCTGTTCTTCCCCACCCTGTTTCCCGCCCACTCCTAATCTTAGTAACTAAAATCCTAGCACACGCCCTCCCGCCCTTGCTCCTTCATCTTCCATTGTCTTACAGACTACACGATTCTGTATATAAGATGAGGAAGACTCCACTAAAAAACCCTTGGTATTGATAAACACTTTCAGTCAAGTGACAGGATATGAAATTAGCACACGAAAGTCAGTAGCCTTCCTACCAACCATAATAAATATGCTGAGAAAGAAATCATAGAAACTGTCCCATCCCAACAGCCTCCGGTAAGGGGACCACTTTAAAGTAAACCTAACAAAGGAAAACAAAAGACCTCTATAAAGTGAGAACTTTAAAACAAGAGAGACATTGAAAACCAGGTAGAGGTGGCACATGCTTTTTTAATCCCAGCACTCGGGAGGCAGAGGCGGGTGGATCTCTGTGAGCTCACGTCCAGCCTGGTCTACAGATCGAGTTCCAGGACAGGCTCTAAGGCTACACAGAGATACACAATTGAGACAGAGAGAGAGAGAGAGAGAGAGAGAGAGAGAGAGAGAGAGAGAGAGAGAGAGAGAGAGAGAGAGAGAGAAGGCGACACTATGGGGTGGAAAGACTTCCCATGCTCATGGATCAGAAAAAACAGTATTGTGAAAATGTCTCTTACCTATAGCTATCTATAGATCAATGCAATCCTCATCAAAATCCCAATCTTGTTCTTCCCCATCCCCCACCAAAAAAAAAAATCTTAGAATTCATTTAGAAGCACAAAAGATCTTGGATAGCTAAAGTAATCTGGAGGCAAGGAGGAGGAGGGCTGGATAACTAATCGGGTTGTATTTAGAGTCCTAGGAACCAAGCACGTGGTTCCGGCACAATGACAGACATGCTGATGAATGGACAGAAGGTTCAGATACAAATGTATGCAGCTAAGGCCTCCAACACGATGCTGGGAAACCTGGGTATCTACATGCAGAAGAACAAAACCAGAGCCTTACCTCTCACCCGAAACAAAAATCAAACTCCAAATCAGTCAAAAACCTTCATATAAGACTTGAAACTCAGAGACCATCAGAGGAAAAAGTAAATAAAACACTTCAGATGTCGGCGTGGGTAAGGACTCCCTGAAGAGGATACAGTCACTCAGGAAATAAGGCCAACCATTGATAAATGGAACCCCCTAAGATTAAATAGATCCTATATACCAGAGGAAATGGTAATCAAGTTAAGACACAGTCTACCGAATAGGAAAGCAATCTGCTCGCTACACGTTCAACAAAATATCAATATCCAGAATATCAAATAACTGAGAAAAACCAAGCGACTGCGGCTGGAGAGATGACTCGTGATTCAAAGTACTGACTGCTCCCGCAGGGGGACCTGAGTTTAGTTCCCAGCACCCGTATTGGGCAGCTCACAAGTACTTGTAACTCCAACTCCAGGGTATCAGACGCCCTCTGACCTCTGCAGGAAACACCACTCACATGCCCAAACCCACGCATAGACACACACATATACCTATAATTAGAATTTTTAAGTCTAAGGAAAGAAAAACTAAGCAACAAGGAAATAAACAGTCAGTACACATTTGTATCGGGCTTTCTTTTGGGCCACCAACCAATTCCCAGATCATGGCACTGGACACATTATTAGTTATGAATGCTCGGCCTTAGCTTATGCTTGTCCCGTTAGCTCTTATAACTTAATGTGACCTGTTTCTCTTCATCGATGTTTTGCCTCGGTGCTTTTTACCTTTCTCTCATTCTGTATGTCCTACTCCGCGTCTGGTTGGCTGGTGACCGCCCGGCTGGCTGGGCCCAGGCACGCCCTCTCTGTGCCCCTCATTCTCTTCTCTCTTCTCAGCTGCCTCCATCCCTCCTCCTACTTATTCTCTCTGCCCAATTCCCCACTTATCCCTCTACTGCCTAGCTATTATCTGTCCAGTTTTTTTGCTAGACCAATCAGGTGCCTTAGGCGGGCAAAGCAACACACCTTTACTTTGTTAAACAAAGGCAGCATAAACAAATGTAACACATCTTTGCCTAGTTAAAGTAATAGTCCACAGCACATATTTTTTAAGTGTTCAACATCCGTAGCCATCAGGGAGAGTCAAATTGAAATTATCTCACCCTGTAAGAATGTCTATCACCAAGAAAACAAATGACAATAATGCTAGCAATGATGTAGGGAGAAGAGAACCTTTATCCTGGTAGGAATGTAGCCACACACACACACACACAAAAAAAAAAAAAAAAAAAAAAAAAAAAAAAACCTAAACTAGGACTCCTGCGTGACCCAGATATTCTACGCCTAGGCATTTACTCGAAGGACTCTGTATGCTACCACCGAGATGCTTGATCATCAATATTTATTGCTGCTCCAGTCACAATGCCCAGGAAATGAAATGGGCCTGGATGCCCATCAGCAGAGGACTGGATAATGAAAAAGTGGCACGTCCTCACAATGGAATTTTATTCTGCCTTAAAGAAAAAGAAAGTGATGAAACTTACTGTAAAATGCATGGACTGGAAAAATAGTATATTAAGGGAGATAACCCAGACCTAGAAGGGCAAACATCACATGGTCTCATATGCAAGCCTAGCTTCTCTCTCTTTTTTTCTTCTTCCCTTTTCTGGTTTATTGAGACAGGTTTCTCTGTGTGTATAACTGACTTGTTTTAGAACTCCCTTTGTAGACTAGGCTGGCCTCCTGCCTCTGCCTCCTGAGTGCTGGGATTAAAGGCGTGTGCACCACCACTGCCCCACCTAGCTTCTCATTTTTATGTGCTTGTGAGCCTGACTGTGCATAGAGGCCAGAAAATCAAAAAGGTGTTCACGAGGGGAGGAAATAAGAGGCTTTCAGGGGCTGATAGAACAACACATCATATTGGGCGGGGGTGCTAGAGAGATGGCTCAGAGGTTAAGAGCACTGGCTGCTCTTCCAGAGGTCCTGAGTTCAGTTCCCAGTTCACAACCATCCATAATGATATATGGTGTCCTCTTCTGGTGTGCAGGCCTACGTGCAGACAGAACACTGTATGCATAATAAATACATCTTTAAGAAAAAAAAAAGAACACATCATTTGAAGGTGAAAGGAGCAATACCAAGAGCAGGAAGGGTGAGGCCAATGTGAAAACGCAATAAGGAAATGCATTATCTTTTAAGATAATTAAAAAATAAAGGTCAGGCAGTGGTGGTGCACACCTTTGATCCCAGCACCCAGGAGGCAGTGGCAGGTGATATCTATGAATTCAAGGCCCAGCCTGGTCTACAGAGCAAGTTCCAGGACAGCCAAGGCTACACAGAGAAACTGTGTCTACACACACACAAACACACACACAAGAAACAGGGATTTTGCAGATGTAATGACTAAACGAGTTTTCTTGACTCAAGTGAGTCCTTTTCCAGGGGCTGTGTCATCTTGGGGACAGAGACACCATGAGAAGAGACCACACAGGAAAGCAGGGGTCAGAGTGCTGTGCCAACAAAGGAACACCCAGGTCCACTGTCAACCACCGAAAGCTGGAGTGAGCAGGGAAGAGACGTCCCTCAGAGCCTCCAGAGAAAGCAGCCCCACTGACATTAGCACCATGGGAGAATTCATCTGTGTTGTTTTAAACCACCCGTGTGTGGGTCTTTTTATAACACTCCTACCACACTAATGAAACTGGGAAGCAAACAGAGATTAAAGGCCCGTAGCAGTTACACTACACATGCCTTCCCGCTCTTAGAAGCCCTAATGCCATTTAAGAAATCCATTTTAACAGTATGGAATACAGGCTTCATGGACTTAGTGGGGCTCCTAGTGGAAGATGCTGACATTGCCCCCAACTCTTGGCTTTAGACAGACTATTTTTAGTGTGTGTGTGTGTGTGTGTGTGTGTGTGTGTGTCCCAGCCTGTATTTGTAATGCTTGACTGTTTAAGTGGATAAATCAGAAGTAAATATGACAAAATGTTAACCACTGTTATGGATGACAGGCATGTAGGTGTTGTATTTACTGTAGGTTTTGGAATGTGAAATATTCTAATCAAAATTACATTCAAAAATCATTCAAACAGAATAAAGAAACGGTTCACTCAGCCTAAGTCATTCTGTGGAATTTCTTCTGATAACAGTCTTCAAGTGACATTCCTGCCAAAAAGCCTGTAATGATTCATAATGAAACTCATTATTTGGTATGCTAATGAAAAAATTTTAAAAGAAAAAAGAAGCTGGGTTTGTTGGCTCATATCTGTAACCATAGCATTTGGGAAGCTGAGGCAAGGAGATTACTTTAAGTTCTAGGTCAGCCTGATGGGCAAATGAGACCCTATCTTTAAAAACAAAACAACCAAAAGTATCCAATAACTGTTCCTCTGTGTGTGTGTCTGCTTGTTTGTCTGAAGAACAGCATGCAGAGGTTCTAGAACATTCACAATGTTGACAGGCCTCACCACCATCTAGTTCCACATTGCCACTCCCCAGCCCTCCCTTCTCCAGCTCCTGCTCTGCTTTCTGTCTGTGAGTTTAGCTGTTCTGGAAACTTCGTGTGAATGGAATCATGCAGAAAGGCCTCTTGTGGACAGCGTCTTTGAATTATCATTTTGGGGGTTCACCCACATTGTCACACCCGCTGGTTCCTCCTTCCTTCTTACAGCCTAGTGACAGCCACCATGCGGATGCGCCGCACTCTGGCCACTCATTGTGGCGCCTCTCTGCTGTTTCTGCCCTCTGACTTTTATAACTTGTATGTTATGAAAGTTTACGATCAGTTTGGTTTGGTTTGGTTTTAAAAGTTTTGTTTTTAAAAGGTAGAGCCAAGTGGGAAGAAATGAGGCCTGTCCTTGAAGGGGATATTGGGAGGGCAGTCCTTTCCCGTTCTTCTCTTTGCTGGCTTCTGGGAGGTGAGCAGCTTCGCCCCACCACAATCTTCCTGCCCAGACGCTCTGCCCTGCTGTGGAATGCTTCCCTCTGACCACAGCAGCTATTATCTTCTCCAACGGAGAAGCTGTGACTGCTCACAGGTGACCCTCAGGATCAGGCCTGTTCCCTTCCCTCACAAAGCTGGGTGAGGAGGAGGGTCACTGGATCACTGGACTCCCATCTGAGATCACAGCCCCTTCCTCCCCACCCCCGTCTGTACCTGCTGGCAGCTGCACTAGGCTTGGAAGCACAACTGAAGGGGAGACTCTGTGCAGCTATGAGGAAGTCACTACCCTTGCTAGGATGAGATGCTCCAGGAATACAGCTGTTTTGGAGTCACCTCCACTCCTGTAAGTAACGTCTCACCCATGAGCCTATAAGCCAAACAAACTCATTGAATCACCGAGGTAGAACTGGCTAGAACCGTCCCTTTGGTTGGCCACTGGTGCCTTGTCTGGGATAAGAAAGTATGTGTTTCGATCTCCCCAAGGAGAGTTCCTGTGACATTCACCACAGGCCTAGAAAGAACAGAGTGAGCTGACCATGGACTGATACCTCTGAAACCATGAGCCCAAACAAATCTGCCCTCTCCGTCTACACAGAACAGAGGACACACCTCCAGAGCAGGTCTTTGCAGCCACCTCATCCGTGCTGTCTCGAGTTAGCAAGCACCTATTCTGCATGCGTGCAGTTATCCCCCTCACCTGAGGGGCTGTCTTCCAAGACCACAGTGGGTGCTCAAAGCAGAAGACGCCCGCAGCCCTACCTACACTGTGCTTTTCTTTCTACACACACTTAGCACACAGTTTAGTTTACACATTAGACCCAGGAAGAGACTAACAGCAACAATAAGGTAGATGGACCATAACAAAATTGCACTTTGAGGACATTGTCAAGGAAAATATAGGCACCTGGAACACAAGCATGGGTGACTGGGGCAGTCACTCTGACAAACGGGATGGGCTATTAGCATATGTTCACACAGATACACTGGACAAAGGGATGGTTAATGTCCTGGGTGGGGCAGAGCAGGACAGAGCCAAATTCATCAAAATATCCAGAATGAGGCATGATTAAATATTGCTTACTTCTAGAATTTTCCATTTAAGGGTTTCGGGGGGGGCGTCAAATGAATGTCTATGAATTCTGAACTTTTTTGGGGGGGGATTTTCGAGACAGGGTTTCTCCGTAGCTTTTTTTGGTTCCTGTCCTGGAACTAGCTCTTGTAGACCAGGCTGGCTTCGAACTCAAAGAGATCTGCCTGCCTCTGCCTCCCGAGTGCTGGGGTTAAAGGCGTGTGCCACCACCGCCTGGCTGAATTCTGAACTTTTTTTACATTTCCAAAGGCCAGCCTCTGATGGCATTTGCAGCTGGTAACATAGTTATGGTGACATAGTCCTTGCAGATGCCAAAACGCCACAGGTTTCTGTGTACTGCTGATTGTGTAGCTGAAGTGACCAGGAGCATGCTGCCCGGGACTGAGTATCAGCACAGAGTGGTCCTGCATTTGCTGCTTTCCTTCCCCTGGAAACACTCTCTTCTCATGGCCATCTCGCCTACCTTAATCCTCTCATCCACCCAGCAGATGGCAGGAGAGGGATGCCTAGCAAATCCTCCACCTGCCCTGCACCGCTATCCACAGGCATTCTCAACCAGTCCTGACGTCCTCTCTACCCATGCTTTTGAACTCTCAGGAGAGCAGTTCATACTGAGGGAGGTTCCTCTAAGATGAGGGAGGGTTGTTTCCTGAGGTACAATGAGGGCAAGAGCCATGTGGAAGGAGACATGGCAAGGAGGATCACCGAGCAGAGGTTCTGGACTGAGCTTCCCTGCAGCCTGGCTGGCCACCATGGCAGAAGTAATAACCCTCTACCTGCTCTGTGACCCCACCTCGCTGCTCTGTCTCCTCGAGAGGACTGGACATCTGGTGTGGCAGTACAGGCCTGTGATCCCAGCACTCACAAGGTGGAAACAGAAAGAGTCGCCCTCGGCTACATAGCATGTTCAAAGCTAGCCTGGGCTACATAAACTCTATCTTAAAAAAAAAAATGCTAATGGTGAGGATGATGATAATACCATCATTGGGTAGGAGAGGCTCCTCCCAACCAGGCAGCCCAACCTTTTCACTAGGCTCCTCGGAAAGTTTGAGGGCAGAGACACAGGAAAGCAAGCACACAGACAGGACCTGGATTCTGAAATGCGGAACGCGGCAGGTGTGCATTAGGGCACCGTTCTGCTGAATCCTCCTGAAACTTTACTTCTTCCTGGTGTGGTGTGAAGATTTTTCAAAACATTTTCTTTTGTGAGGGGTGGAGGCAGAGACAGAGTTTCTCTGTGTAGCCAGGGCTGTCCTGGAACTCACAGAGTTCCTGTTCTGTAGACCAGGCTGGCCTTGAACTCACAGAGATCCTCCCGCCTCTGCCTCCCCGCTTGGCTTGCACCACCACGCCTGGCTTCAAAGCATTTCTTTTTCACGCTTACACTACTGTCAACGACATCACCAAGGCCAGGTGCGGTGAGTGGACTGGGCCAGTTCCCAGATTCCATCTTCTCAGAGGACTCTGTGGCACAGGTGACGTAGAGGACCCCCCTGCTCCTCTGAATCACCAGACAATGTTCATGCAACAGAATCTCTCTGAGTTCTGGAAACTCAACTCCTTTATTTTCACAGTTCCAAACTGTTCCAGGACTCTGGCTACTCGGTGTTGCGGCTTTGCCTCTTTGGGCCCTTCAACATCTATGCCAACTATTTCTTATAGTAAAAATTCAATTTTGAGAGAGAAAGAGAGAGAAGTGGAGTGGCATGGCTCCCGAGCTGGCTGAAGCAGGGATGAAATTAGCAGACACTGGCCCCTGCCACCCAGCTATTCTCTTCCTACCATAAAGAACTTTAGAAGAGACGCTGATGGATTTTCTCCAGCCTCCCCATGTCTTATCTAACTCAAGCTCCATCACTTACCAGCAGTGTGATCATAGCGATGTGAGTTGACTAGTCCAGGCCTTGGTGCTTCTTCTGGGAAATGTGGATTTGGGTTGTACCTGTATCTCAAGGTTATGGTAAAAACAAATGAGACTGTGTGCGCCCAGGACTTCCCATGAATACAGTACTTTATAAATGACAGAATTTAATGCCACACAGAATATGTAACGGTCAGAAAAAAAAAACTATTCATTTTTAAATGGTCAAAGATGGGGCTGGAAAGATAACTCAAGCAGTTAAGAGCACTGGCTGCTCTTCCAGAGGACCCGGGTTCCATTCCCAGCCCCCACGTGGCAGCTCACAGTTCTAAGGGATCAGACACCCTCTTTGGGTACCCACAGGCATCAGATATGAACATGCATATAGGCAAAACACCAATAAACATAAAATAAAATAAATAACAAAGTTAAAAAATAATATCAAAAGGCTAGGTGAGGTTGTGCACTCAAAAAGCAGAGGCAGCTGTGTCTCTTGAGAGTTAGGGGCAAACCTGATATACCTAGTGAATTTCAGGCCAGTCACAGCAACTTTGTGAAACCCTGTCTGAAAAAAAGTAAATAAAATTAAAGTGACCAAAGGACTTGAATAAACATTTCTCCAAGAAGAAATAAATATAAGCGGGCAATGAGCAGGGCTGGAAGGGAGGTGATGGCAACGCTGGTAACAATGAGCAGGGCTGGGGGGTGGCAACGTTGCTAACATGTTTACTATCCAAGCATGAGGACCTGAGTTCCGACGCCAGCAGCCTCAGGATTTTTTTTTTTTTTAAGTGGCTGCGGGGTTGTGGTGGCAAGTCAGTGTGCATCTGTAATCCCAGAACCAGGAGGTGAGACAGGAAGATCGATTCCCCTGGGCTTTCTAGTCCATCAGTCAGGACAAATCAGCAGGCTTGAGGGTCAGAAAAAGATGCTGTCTCAGAGAAATCCGGTATAGAGTGACGGAGGACGATGTTCTGTCTGTTCCTCTGTTTCCACATACAGGAACACTATGGGCACACACAAGATGTGGGGGGTGGGGAGAAGGGAGGGAGAGACAGAGAGACAGAGGCTCTCAGAGAGGCTCGACATCACATCTCAACAGGGAAATGCAAGTCAAAACCACAATGAAATGCTGCTTCATAATTCCTGGCACAGCTACCATTAAAAAACGCAGAGGACTTGGAGCCGTCAGGGTATAAAGGATTTGTGGTGCAAGGGTGCGGAGCAGCGTCTGGATCTCCAGAACCCACACAAAAGCCAGCAGGCATGGTGACCACCGGAACACTGGAATCGCAGCATTTGGAGGCAGACAGGGGATCCCCAAAGCAAGCTGGCTAGATAAGCTAGTCAATCCAACAAGCTTCGGGTTCAGTGAGGCCCAGCCTGAGTAAATACAGCGGAGAGTAACCAAGGAATCTACTCGGGGTCAATCTGACCTGCATGGACACGCATACTTGGTCACACCACACACGGATACACATGAGAAAACGAAGAAAAAGAAAGGGACACCGGGAGTGTAGCTCGGCATAGGAGAAGCCGAGTCCCGTCCCTAGCAGAGAAAGGAGAGGGAGGAGGGAGAATGTGGGACTTTGAACATCACCGGCAGATTTGGGAAGGTGTGCAGCCACTAGGGAAAACACTATGGAGTTCCTCAAATTGAGAGTAGATAGGACGGTAGGGTGATGGTGGCCACTCACCTTTAATCCAAGCACTTGGGAGGCAGAGCCAAGTGGATCTCCAACTTTGAGGCCAGCCTGGTCTACAAAGGGAGTTCCAGGACAGCCAGAGTTATTCCGAGACACCCTGTAGAGAAAGAACAGATATGACACAGCCATCCCAGCCCTGGATATTTATCCAGAAGAACTGAGAACAAGGTCCCGCTCCACTCTTGGGACGTACAGCTGTACCCCTTAGTGGGTTTCTCATCTGTGCAGGCCTGTGTTCATTCACTCCATCAACAGGCGGGTGCATAGAGACAGTGAGGTGTGCAGACCCTATCTAAGAGCCTGCGGGTTTTAAAACTAAGGACATCCTGTCCTACAGCACATGGATGGAGCTATGAGGGCATTATGCCAGTTATGGGACATGAAACAGCCAAACAGCCGGCCCCTTCCTCCCCTCCCCCTTCCCTCCCGAGAGCCTGAACTGCACGGGAATCGGGAACAGAGGAAGGCATCCTTTCCTTCTACAACACTTCCTGTTGTTCACGGTTTATTTACTGGATAAATGTTTATCCAGGCTCTATTGTCCGCTAAGCCCCACGGTTGGCTCCGGAAACAACAGCGGTATGGAAGGCAGAATGCTGCCCTCCAGTCACCTACTTCCTAGTCAACAAAGTGACTTCTGGAAGTGCAGCTGTCTTGCTGAGGAGAAACAGATCTGCCCGGATCAAGGAAGACTTGACGTGAGAAATGCCAAGCCAGGAGCAATGCTAACTCTGACGGAGGAAACACATACGAAGCCCAGAGACAGTGGACAGTTCACCATGTCTAAGGAAGAAAGACCAGCATGGCTGGAGGAGAGGCATGGGAGCAGTGGGGAATGTGGCCTTAACAGACCTCCCCAGCCATTGTAGGTAAGAAGGGAAAATGTCGGTAACGTACCGGATTATCCTGTGAGAAAATCTCAGCTCTGAACAGCAGGACTTCAGGGAAGGATAGGCTCGGACAGCCCCAGGGTCTCACTCCAGGTTTGTCTTGTGCCTCCTGTGAGCCCTAATCTGATGATTCTCAGAGTTGGGCATGCACTTGGCCCACCTAGTCATATATAACAGACTCCTGGGCTGGCCCAGTTTGAGCGGGTAGATCTGGGCAGGGCACAGAATTTGCACATTACACTCATACCAATACGCTGCTGATACCGACCGTTCTCCACCATACAGAAGATGAGATCCTTCCAGAATGTCTCTTCTGTAAAGGTGTCCTTCTGTCCTGGTAGGCATGCTTACCAAGCGAGAGGAAATATGTCTAGGAAAGTTGTGTATGGATGGGGGCGGGAGCACTATCTTCCTGTGTATAGTTCTGGCTGGCCTTGAACTCACTGTGTAGCCCAGGCTGGCCTCACAGCCTGCAGGGATCCTCCAGCTTTTGCTTATTGAGTGCTGGGATTGCAGGCATGTGCCATTACGCCCACTTGGAAAGCCTTTCATGAAAGGAAAAAGACAAACACAAGGAATTACCACCTTCGCAATGCGCCCCTCCGTCTGCTTCCTTCATGGGTTATAAGAATTGTTCTCATCAAAGAGGAGCAGCTGACGGCTTAGAAACAAGGGTGGTTTTATGTCACTTATCCTAACTCCGATTCTTTGGAGAAGCATTCCCTTACAACCACCTCTATTGCCCCCCTCACCGGTAGAGCTCGATGTCGCCTGCGAGGACCCAGGGTTATTTTTGCCTACCATCATTTCATCCCACTCCTCCCAGACAAAGCTCTCCTGTGAGTCATCTGGGGAACCCGGAGGCACTTGACGGCTGCTCAGCTGGTATCTGGCCATTCAGGAGGGAAGTATTAAGATTCCCTTGCACTTGGTTGGAGAAACAACACAAATTTGTAAGCTGCTCAACATTCAAGAATCTAGAATATACATCTATGATAAATGCTTAGTAGGTGTATGTCTGTTTATTTTCACAAATTCAGTAAATATTTGGGGACTATGTACCAGACACTGTCTCAGGTTCTACACACACAACAGTGTATAAAACCACACAGCCGCCCTTCTGTGGGGTTTGTCTTGGATCACACAGCAGCACCCCGTCTTCAAGGCCTTGCTTTCCATAGTCTCAGTTACCTAGTGTTGACTACAGTCCAAAAAAGTATTAAAGGGAAAAGCCCAGAAACAGTGGATGCGTTTTAAACTGCACGCTGTTCTGAACGTCATGAAATCTAGGCTGGCCTCATGTGAGTTCTCTCTTTCTCCGGAGTATCCGCGCAGTATATGCTCCCATCTGGTAATCTCTTAATGCCTGTCTGGGTTATCAGACAGAGAAATAAAACAACCCGTATCTAATGGACTCAGTACTTCGCAGACATCTACTCTAGGTCTTGGATGTGTTCCCAGTGGGTGAGGAGGAGCAGTGATTTCTGAATGTGTACTTGCGGGTCAGGTGTTGGCAGAGGAGACAGCCATGTAATCAGATAGGTGAAATGAAATATAACAGGGACTTGGTGGAGGTGAATCTGCACCGGGGTACGATAAGGCATGAAGAAGGAAGAGTCCTAAGCAGGCAAGCCAATGAGGTATTCAATTGTGGGTGCCACTTTCCAGGTCACTAAGGGGAAGCTGTTGTGGGTTGAAACTAAACTCCACAAAATTCATACGTTTAGGGATCCTAACATGTGACCTTTCTCGGTTCCCCTTTCCTTTGGACTTTGGAAGTCTAGGTCATATTTGCCCCACTAGTTCATTTTGAAAACGTGTAATGCATGGTCTAGTTTCATAGTTGGAGAGAAACTTTCACTCAGGGAGATCCATACTTGAAGTTTATCCAACACACGATTTAGGTGAGCTATTGGGAGTTTATCCAACACACGATTTAGGTGAGCTATTGAACTTACAGTTGATACAGGAAAGAGTTAGGATATCTGTGGTTGTGAGAATGGGCTGAATATATTTGCCTATGACAATTACATTTTGGGAGGTCAGGAGGAGGCACATTACACAGTCTGAACAGAGGTCCCCCAAAAGTTACATGTTACCGTCCAATCCCTAGAACCTACCTAAGATTCTGGGTGTCTTTAAGGACGTAATCATGCTAAAATGAGGTCACTGGTAAGGGTGGGAACCTTATGAAGAGGACAACAGGATACAAAGACACAACGGGAGGTCTATGTGAAGACAAAGGAGAAAACGTCCACCTACAAGTCAACCAGAGAATCCTTGGAGGAAGGACCAAATCCAACTCCTTGATCTTGACTCCTGGCCTCCAGAATTATTGAAAACTAATTCTCAATTCTTGTCACCTAGTCTGTGGCACTTTATCAGCCCTAATAAACCAATGGAGTGTTCTAGTTTCATTTCTATTGGTATGAGAAAACTTCCTGACGAAAAGCAACTAAGGAGAGAAAGGGTTGACAACTCAGTTAGAACCCATTGCAACAGAGCAGAAGTTAAGGACCATCGCATCACACCCATCGTCAGAAACAGCGAAAAAAGTATATCTATGTCGCCTGCTTCCTCTCATCTACTCTCCTGTCCTATGTCATTCAGGACCCCTGCCTAGGAAACCTATCGTGGGCTCTCTTCCTAATCAGTTAACAATCAAGTCAATCCCCCCCCCCCCAGACAAATCTGATAAAGGCACTCAAGTGCAGTTCCCTCCCCAGGTGTTTCTAATTTGTGGCAAGCTGACATTTAAAACTAACCTTCACAAGAGGCTTTCTGTGGAAAGGAAGCAGCCTGACAAGTGTCCTGAGGACATGGAGTGTACCGTGCATGGGATGGAGAGGAGGCTGGAGAAGTGGGAAGGAGTTTGGCTGTGAAGGAACTCCAATGATGAGGATTTGGGCTTAATTTTTATTCATGGTATCCAGGTGTTGAAAGGCTGAAGTCAAGAGTATTACAGTGCTGTGCAACAGAAGACCATTCTAGACCATTCTAGGACTGTACAGCTAAGGGAGATGGGATTATACTTATAACATAGGTTATGTCTATGAGATGTTAAATGATACAGCCTTGTACTAAACAAGGATTGCCTAGATGGCGGGGCAGAGTCCCACAGAGAGGCAGAGAATGTAGATCTGACAGGTCTTGGCTCCCCTTTAAAATCCTGGGGGGAAGGGAAACAAGATACAAGTCAGGGGAGAACACTGCTTCCATTCCACACAAATGGAGTCAGAGGCGGATGCATGTTGCCAAAGGACAGGAATGTGCAGCAACTAAACAGCCAAGGACCAGCCCACAAGAGGGCAACAGTGTTAATTTTGTGGTCTGAATAAGAAAAGCCCCTTAGGCTTGTAAGTGTGAATACTTGATCCCCAGTAAAAACCATTTGGGAAGGATTAGGAGGTGTGGCCTTGATGGAGGTGTGTCACTAGCAGTAGCTTTGAGTTTTGAAAGATTTGCACCATTCCCAGAGTTTGTGTGTGTGTGTGTGTGTGTGTGTGTTTCTCTGCCTTCTACTTGTCGATCATGATGTTAACTCTCAGCCGTTCGTGCCACCGTACCTTTGCTCTGCCACCATGGACACCAACCCTCTGAAACCATAAACCCAATTAAGCACGTCTTTTTATAAGTTGTCTTGGCCATGGTGTTCTGCCACAATAGGAAAGGAACTAAGACAGGTGTCCTAGAATGGGGAGATGGCCACAGACAGGTCAGAAGGGCCAGATGGGCCAGATGGCATTTGGAGGAAGAAAATCTCTGGAGAAGTGACATCAAAGGAAGAGGTACCAAATACAGGTTTTCCATTACTGCATCATGGAAGCCAAGGGCAGAAAATTCCAGACAGGAAGGAACAGCAACAGTGGTAAATGCTGCAGACCAACCAGCATGGGGTCTTGAAAATTGGGGTTCCCAGAGTAAATTGAGCCTCTCTTGATAAACAGGTCAACTTGAAAATAAGTCAAGTATGGTGGTGCATACCTTTAATCTCAGTACTTGAGGCAGAGGCGGGTGGATCTGTGTTAGTTCAAGACCAACCTGCTATATATATATTGAGTTCCAGATTAGTCTGTGTCTCTCTCTCTCTCTCTCTCTCTCTCTCTCTCTCTCTCTCTCTCTCTCTCTCACACACACACACACACACACACACACACACCTTCCCCCTGCAACATACCACAAGCAAGGGCACACCAAGCACTCTGATGGGCATGGGGGACACCACAAGGAACCAAGACGAACAGGATCTGGCCCTCAGGGAGGTGACATTCTTGTAGTAGTGGAGCATAAGGACAAGTAAACAAACCAAGCACAGACACAACCAACTGCTAACCAAAAATGGGGGGGGGGGCGGGGTTCTATGTGTACTGAACACATGCAGATGTTTTCTTATCATTATTCCCTAAACAATGCAGCATGACAACTCTTTACAGAATGTACATGGCATTAGGTATTACATGTAATCTAGCGATGACTAAAAGTACTGGAAGGGTAGGCATGGGTTATAAACAAATACTATGTCATTTTCTAAAAACAAACTTCTTGAGCGCTGGAGGATTTTGGTTCCTGTCGACGGTTGTAGACTCTGCTCTGTAGACACCAGGGGATAGTTTTACACAAACACGTACCCCTGTTGAGTCTTGTCCTCTGACAGAGTCTCATATGGAACCACAAGTACAAAAGGGAAGTGGGAGGTTAGCCAGACCATAGCAAGTGACACATGGAACCAGCCACAGGGATGGCTGCTCTGGCGGGGGCAAGGCTCGCTCCACCTCTCATCCCCACTGTTCCGGGAATGCTGGCTTCCTTCTTTCCTTCACAGTCAGGCCTCTTCACACAGCATGGAAGATCATCATCTTGGAGCTTCTGGCTCCCAGAGCCTCCAGCTCATCAGTCTGAGAGCCCAGGAGAAGCCTGGGGTGAGAGCGGCAATGAAGAACTGGACCGCACACTGTGAGGATCTACAGGTCCCTCAAGACTGGAGTCGGCAGGCAGAGCCCAGCAGGTTCGACATGCAAGGGCTGACGTTTCGGTTTAGAGGACAGAGCCAGAGGAAGATCAATGTCTCGGCTCGAGCACGCGGGAGTATGTCTTCCTTACTAAGCCTTCGGGTTTCACTCAGCCCCTGGACTGGCTTAGGTCCACTTGCATTATTGAGAGCACTCTGCTTTACTTGAGCTGAGGCTCCAATGTTCACCTCACCCCAAATCACCTCATAGTTGGTCAGCTTCCTACAGCTGTCATGGGATACCTAAGAGGAAGAGCTTTTTGATTTTTGTTTGCTATTTGATTATAGTTTTCTTTTTAATTAAGTCTGAAATATCACTAAAATACTGATGTGTAGGGGGTTTTACATTCCAAATCCCAGTTCTTAAGTCTGCTTCTGTTCTATTTACTTGATGTGTAAAAAGCTGAACTTCAAAACTTCAACAGTATGTCAGAAGATGATGCCCTGATGCTTGAAGAACGAGCTGTATCCGAAGGCTGGGACAGTCCACGGCCATGACGACGACGAAACACATAAAAAGACGGGCGACTCCGTAAGGCGTCAAACGTCTTACTCCTTAGTTCTGAAGTGGCATCCCTGTCCTTAAACTCCCCTGCCGTATGAACTACGCCATAACAGGTAACCGCAAAGGCCAAAAGCGTCTGCAGAACTATGTCCGCCGGCAGCGACTCACTCCCCTCGTCCTTTAGTCGCGCGTGCGAATGATGCTGCGCAGCCGAAAAGGCAGCTTGGGCCAGCGCGAAGAGGCCGATGCCTATCAGCCCCTTCCACAGCCACGGCACCATGGTTCAGAAGGAGCGGTAGTCCCAAAGATAGTCTTCCACACCGGGATAAATATCTTAGAGACAGGAAAGATTGGTCCTGGCCCACGGTTTCAAAGTTTCCGTGCCCACTGGGCCTCGTGGCTTCAGGCTTGTAGCGGTATCATGAGAGGAGCACTTAGAACAGGGTGTTCAGCTCACGGCCACTAGGAAGCAGAGAGAGAGAAAGGATCAAGGACATACCCCCAGTGACTGAACCTCTCCGCTAGGCCCACCTCTTTTCCTCTTTCTGTGTCTCATGGTGTAGCCCAGGTTGACCTCACGCTTGTGGCAATCCTCTTGCCTCAGCTTCTTGGGTCCTGAGATTATAAATATTGCACCACCACATCCTGCTGGTCCTGCCTCTGAAATGTTTTCCCACTTCTCAACGGTGCCATGGGCTGTAACCAAGCCTTTAACACACGAGTCTTGCAGGAAACACTGCAGACCCAACTGGGGCACAGAAATAGAACAAATATTTGGATATCCTGTGGCTCAATCAAGTCAACCAACTTGATGATATAACTGGATCACAAAGAGCAGGAAAGGCCCCTTAGTGGCAAGCTTGGAGCCGACACTAGGCTAACCTCAGGGACAAAGAGAACTTGGATGCTTCCCCACCCCTCTTTGGTTGTTGGAAACAGGGTTTCTCTGTATAGCTCTGGCTGTCCTGGAACTCACTCTGTAGACCAGGTCAATCTCGAACTCACAGATTTGCTTGCCTCTGCCTCCTGAGTACTGGGATTAAAGGCTAGCGCCACCACACCCGGCTCTGGCTTGCTTCTCCTAAGCATAAGGCTACTTATGTCAAAACAGGTTAGAGGGAATCTACTTGTTTATTTTTAGTTGTGGGGGCAAATTATTCACTGAGATGAGATATGCTTTTGTGACACCTACTGACCAAAAACAAAAGCTCCCTCTTTTCCAACATTATCTGCAAGCCAGACAGAGTGGCTCGTGCCTCTAATCCCAGCACCTGTGACTCCTAGCACCTATGTTGGTCACAACTCTAGTTTGGGGGATCCGACACCCTCTTCTGGCCTCTGAGAATACCAGGCATGCGTGTGATGCACAGATATTCATGCAGGAAAACCATGACAAACTAAAACTCCAGTTTCCAGGGGATCTGATGCCTTCTCTGGGCCTCCACAGGCACCAGGCACACATGTGGTATTTAGGCATGCATGCAGGCAAAACACGCATACATATAAATCTTAAGACATTGTTGTTCTTTTTGGTTTTGTTTAGTTTTCAAAACAGAGATTCTCTACGTAGCCCTGTTTGTTCTGGAACTCTGTAGATCAGACTGGCCTTGAACTCAGAGATCTGCCTGCCTCTACCTCTTTTACCTCCTTGGGTTTTTTGTTTGTTTGTTTTTCAAGACCGGGTTTCTCTGTAGCTTCGCAGCCTGTCCTGGAACTTGCTCTTGTAGACCAGGCTGACGTCAAACTCACAGAGATCCAACCTGCCTCTGCCTCCCGAGTGCTGGGATTAAAGACGTGCACCACCGCCCGGCACCCAGCTTGTTTTTAACCAGATTCAGTAGCACACGCTGTAGTTCAAGCACTCCCGTGGCAAGATGGAAGCCAGTAAACCTGGGGGCCAGCTAGCCTAGAATACAGAAGGATGAAAGATGGGAGACCCACACCTCGACAAAGTGGAAAGAGAGTCATCTCCCAAAAGTTGTCCTCTGACCTCCATAAGTATTCTGTAACACATGTAACCAGCACACACATAAAGTGATATTTTATTTGTTTTAATAAATAAATCTTGCTTGAAGGCCAGAGGCAACGCTAAAGCCACTAGAGGTCAGGTAATGGTGACACAAACCTTTAATTTCAGAATTTGGGAGACAGAGTCAGATGGATCTCTGTGAGTTCAAGGCCACCCTAGGCTACACAATCTCCAAACAGAAACAAATCCAGGTGGGGTGGCTCACACCTTTAATCCCAGCTCTATAGGAAACATAAAATGGGAGGAGAGAGAGACTTAGTCTGCAGTTACCCAGTCTTAGTAGAGGAAAGACTTCTCTAGTGGCTTGGCTATTTTGCTTTTCTGTCTCTGGTATTTTATTATTCGTGCTACACACATACACCTTACATGCACACAGTAATACAAAAAAAAATTTTTAAATGCCACCTATATTTGCATTGGATGGCAGCTGCCCCAGTTGGTAACTCGGGCCCAGGCCCCAACTGTGGTTCTTCCACAGACCCTAGCTATCATCTCTATTTGTCAGAAGAAAGGAAAGAGAATCCTCAGAGGGGCATGGCACACTTCATTTCAGGTAATACAGCATTGGTAAGAACCAGTCACATGGTGATGCTGCAAAGGAGGCTGGGATACATACTAGTCTCGCACGGGAATGAAACTCTCAATTCTGTGTCAGGCCTTTTTTTTTTTTTTTTTTTTTAGATTTTGCCTATATATATGTATGTGAACTTCGTGCATGCTTGGCGCCCGGGGAGAGAAGGTGGTGTCATATACTCTGGAACTAGAGTGACAGATGGCCTTGAGGCACCATGAAGGTGCTGGGAACTGAACCTGGGTCCTCTGAAAGAGCAACAAGTGCTCTTAACTGCATGGTCAACTCTGCAGCGCCCATACCACGGCTTTTTTTAATTTTGACACCACTGACGTGTTAGATTGCATGATTCCTCTTTAATTTTTATTTTATTTTAGAGAGAGGAGGGTGAACAGTGCAGAGTAGGATACTACTAAATAACACCTCTGGCTTCTACACATCTGATGCCAGTAGCACTCCAGCCCCAGTGAAAAATCTATTGTCAACTGGGCAAGATGCCACACACCTTTAATCCCAGCACCGAGGAGACAGAAGCAGGTGGATCTCTGTGAGTTCATAGCCAGCCTGGTCTACATAGTGCCTTCCAGGACAGCCAGGGCTGTACAGAGAGACCCTGTTTCAAAAGAGAAGTCTCTTCCCACAGATATCATAGCAGCACACATAAATAAATAAATGTAACAACGTTTTAATGTCTCTAAGAATTAGAAAATGGAACTGGAGTTACAGAAGGTTGTGAGCCACATATGGGCTCTGGGAACAGCTGAGGTGTCTGCAAGAGCATCAAGAGCTCTAAGAGCTGAGCCAGCTCTCCAGCCCCACACCTGATGGCTACAACCCCGTGTCCACTCTTCTCTACAAACAGGGCAAAAACTCCAGCTTTACGACTTTTTCACTTGCTATTAATGAGTTTGGAAACCTTGGGCACAAACTCCCCTCAACACAACTAAGGACAATTGCTCTACATGAGAAACATTCAGCAGCCGGGCGATGGTGGCACATGCCTTTAATCCCAGCACTCGGGAGGCAGAGGCAGGTGGATCTCTGAGTTCGAGACCAGCCTGGTCTACAGAGCTAGTTCCAGGACAGGCTCCAAAGCCACAGCCACAGAGAAACCCTGCCTCGAAAAACCAAAAAAAAAAAAAAAAGAAAAGAAAAGAAACGGTCAGGATATCTGTCAGCTAGATATAAAATGTAACGAAACAGCATGTTCGGTTTCTTATCACTTACAAAGCTCAGGGGATGACTGGTAGTTTTTGCTCACAAAGTGACTGACAGAACAGCGGAGGTGCTGAGCGAGGATCCAGAGAGAGTGCCTGGTGTTTCCTGGAATATGAGGATAATCTCCGGAGACACCACACTGCCTCCTTTGCAATTTAGTGTGACCATGTGACAACCACTAAGTGACCTGAAGGGATGTGTGCCACTCCTTGCTAAGGTTTCTAAGATTTCTCTTCCCCTGTGACTGGAAGTAAGCCACTTTTGTTTGCTTATTTTGTGAAGAACAGACTTCCTGAGCTAATTGTTGCAGAGTCCCTGACATTTCTGCACAGAGACAAGAGTTGTTTTTTTTTTTTTAATAATTTGCCTAATGTAAGACAATACTGGTCAGCACCAGGTCAATTTTTGTTTTTTTTCAAGGGAGACGAAATGGATTCTCAGGGAGAACAGTATTTCCAGGAAATGGACTAACTGGTGAGGACTCCTCAGGAAGGGGTAAGAGCCAGCCAAGTCTTGGGCTGCCGACAGTTTGCTTTGTCTCCTAGACACTCCTAGAAATGTGCTGTTCTCCTGGACTCCTACCTGTGGTGTGCTGTTCTAGACTCCTACCCGCGGTGTGCTGTTCTGGACTCCTACCCGCGGTGTGCTGTTCTGGACTCCTACCCGCGGTGTGCTGTTCTCCTGGCTGTAGCGGATGGGGCATTCCTTCACACTCCTCGGAAAGCGTGGAGACAAGTGTCTGGGTTTGAGATAAGTATCTGGGTTTGGTTTGTAGTCCCAATGAACTCCAGGTTTGCAGGCTACCAATATGAAGTATTAGTCTCTGTACTCAGAAAAAAACACAAGAATCTAGAAACTAAGTAAAGGTGGTTATTGGAAACAACTTGATTGTGAGGAAATGTAAGATGTTAACAACAAAGATGAATTTGAAACACAACTAAAAAAAATAATCTAGCTGCTGGGGTTTCTGTGAGATAAGGATTCACGTGTCAGTCCTGGAGTGTCCATGCTGCGTGGAGCAATTTGGATCTGAATAAGAGAATTTTTAAAAGAGTTTTATATTGAATGTGTCTAGGTGCAGGTTTGTGTATGCAAGTGCAGTGCCTGCAGAGGCCAGAAGAGGGCATCCACTTCCTGGGAACTGGAGTTACATGTCTGTGAGCCACCATGTTCTTTACAGGGGGCCTAGGCAAGAACAAGTACTCTTAAACTACTGAGCCTTTGCTCCACATGTATAGATCTCTACAAACAGGCCTAAAAACACCTGTCTTTATTACTTTCTTTTAAAAAAATATTTATTATGTGTACAATATTCTTTCTGTGTGTATGCCTGCAGGCCAGAAGAGGGCACCAGACCCCACTACAGATGGTTGTGAGCCACCATGTGGTTGCTGGGAATTGAACTCAGGATCTTTGGAAGAGCAGGCAATGCTCTTAACCTCTGAGCCATCTCTCCAGCCCCCTCTTCATTACTTTGTTTGGTTTTTCTAAATAAGGTTTCTCTGAGTAACAGCCTTAGCTACCCTGGAACTCTCATAGAGCACCTGCCTCTGCCTCCCAAATGCTGGCCTCCCTGCCTCTCTGTACATTTTTATAAGACTGAAGCAATACAAAAAGAAAATCATTTATATTACAAAGTATTATGAATCTGCTCACTAATTAATTTGATTGGTCTTGCTGTATCCTGACATATTTTTTACAATTTAAATTTTTTTTTCACCATGCATGACTAGATGACATTTTTATGTAGATGCTTGTCAGCTGACTTAGGTTAGCTGTTGTGAATTAGTTGTGGGTTTTTTGTTTGTTTTGGGTTTTGTTGTTGTTCGTTTGTTTGTTTAGAGACAGGGTCTCACTATAGAGCTCTGGCTGTCCTGGAACTCTATGTAGACCAGGCTGCAAATGCACAGAGCTCCACCTGTCTCTGTTTCCTGAGTGCTGGAACTGAAGGTGTATGCCACTATGCCTGGCAAGTTCTGCTGTTTTAACCTATCAAAACTGTGGTACTTTGTTACAGCTCTGACCCCAAACACAACCCAAGAGACACAGGTAAGAATTCGAGACACTCAAGAGAAAAGGAAATAGGCAGGTGTACGAAGGGGTAGTCAAGGCTCAGGTTGGCTTAGCTCCTGCCACTCTAACAAGCCCTCAGGATGGGTGGTAGAAGAACGGGAATTTATCCCCTCAGTTCTGAAGGATGAAAGCTAAGGGCTACCATGTGGAGTTCTAGTTAGGATCCTTCTCAGCTTCTAGCAGCTTCCTCCTTGCTGTGTTTGAAATGGCCTTTTCTTGGGGACATGAGGGGACACAGCAAGCTCTATGGTCTCAAGAGCTCAGACCTCTAGACTTCATCTAAAGCTAATTACTTTCCAAAAGCCAGTCCCTAAATAGCATCACAACAGGAGCTAAAGCTTCGGCATGTGACCGCTGAGAGGATGCAATTCAGTCCAGAGCATTCCATTCCAGGCCCACAAAGTTTCCTTCTTCTTCTTGAGATTAACGGCTCAGCAATTCAGAGCACTGCTGCTCTTCCAGAAGACCCAGGTTTGATCCTCAGCATCCACACAGCAGCTCACAACGGTCTATAACTCCAGTTCTAGCGATCCACGCCACTGACCTGCAAGGCACCTGCACACATGTGCGCACACCCACTTGCAGGCACGCACACCTACATATAATTTAAATTAAAATAGCTGGGCAGTGGTGGCACATACCTTTAATCCCAACACTCCAGGAGGCAGAAATAAGTGGGTCTCTGTGAGTTCAAGGCCAGCCTGGTCTACAAAGTAAGTTCTAGGACAGTCAGAGTGGTTACACAGAGAAACCCAAACAAGCAAACAAAAGAAAAATCAAATAGTTAAATAATTTAATTTTAAATCTTTTCTATTAAAAAAAAAAGAGCACTGCTCTTCACAAGAGCGAAAACATACGAACAAACTGAGCTGCACCAGTAACAGAGCACACAGATAGGCAAGGTAAGAGTGTGCAATGGGCCCTTACAAGGTAAGAGCGTGCAATGGGGCCTTACAAGGTAAGAGCATGCAGTGAGCCCTTACAAGGTTAAGCGCGAGGGGTCCACGCTGACACACCCTGACACACCGCAATGCAGAGCTCTACTGATACACCAGTGCATGCAAAAAGTTGCCTCACAAAAAAATTCATACAGCAAGATGAATTTTTTGTTTTTGTTTTTCAAGACAGGGTTTCTCTGTGCAACAGTATGTCCTGAACTTGCTCTGTAGACCAAGCTGGCCTCAAACTCACTGAGATCTGCCTGCCTCTGCCTCCCAAGTGCTGGGACTAAAGGCGTGCGCCACCACTACCAGGTACCAAGATGAATTTTTATAAAGTTAAAATTAACCCAAAGCAAGAACAGATACCTTTTAGAAACACACAGAATGCAAAACTGCCAGAAGGATGAAGAAACCACTGGACCAGGGGCACAGGCCCCCCATTCCAAAGGTTCAAGGTCTACCTGAGCCACAGAGGTGGTCAAGGCCAGTCTGAGCAATTTCGCAAAATACCACCTCAAAATAGAAGTGTACGTAGGAGCCTGGGGCTATAACTCAGGGGCAGAGCACCTACCCAGAAAGCACTGGGCCCTAGGCTCGACCAAGCACCACAAATGAACAACCAAATAGAAATGGGGAGGGGGTGAAAGGAGATAGAGAGAGATCAGACGAGTCTCTTCAGCTGGGAATGCGTGAAGTTTTCCCCTTGAGTAAATCTAAAATAACACACAAGGGAAAAAGCAAAGATTGATAAACACCGGACTCAGGGTGCGGGTTACTCAAGCAGCAGGAGGCAGAATCTTGGGATGGAAGAGACACCTACAATTCCATGTCAGCTCCTGCCAAGTATTAGCTAACTTTCTGTGTTGTAATCAACTTACAAAGATGAATGGTTTTTTTGGGGGTTGGGGAGGCTCATAATTTTGGAGGTTGAGATCCCAGCCCATGGTCCATGGCACCACTGTTTTCTGCATTTATTTTACGTGTGTGGGTGTTCTGCTTGCATGTGTATCTGTGCACCACTTGGTGCCCTCAGAAGCCAGGAGAGGGTATCAGGTCCCTGGGGACTGGATTTATAGACAGTTGTGAGCAGCCATGTGGATGCTGAAGACCGAACTGGGATCATCTATAAGAGCATCCACTTAACCACTGAGCCACCGCTCTAGCCCCTCCACAGCTTTGGAGTCTGTGACAAGGCAGCACATCTCGGCAGGAGTAGAGGCAGCTGGGAAATGAGAGAAAGTAGTTTTAAAAAAAAAAAAAAAAGATGTGGGGAGGGGAATCCTTCAAGGGCATGCCCACAATGACCTAATACTTCCCAGCAGGCCTCGCCGATTACAGGGTCCACCACCTCCCAAGAGAGCCAAGCCTGGGACGAAGCCTTTAGCAGACATCCCAGGCCCAAATGACACCATCCCATATCTGCCGTGGCTCAGTTTTGTTTTGGAGGGTGAGTTTATGAGTTCCTATTATAGAACAAACTAAATAACTAGATTAAAGCAGGCCATGCGTGGAACAATGAAAAATCAATTAGCAGAAAGGAGAGCATGAAGTCACTGTCCACAGCTCCTGGACATGTGCCTCTGGCTCTGTGTGGAGACGTGGCTGCTAGCTCTCCTGTCCTTCCCTGGCTCGCCCTCCTTGGAGGGCCGTTTCTTTCATCAGCATCTCTCATCAGCGACTGTAGACTGACCAGCACAAGTCTGGGTGAGGTATCTCAGACTTCTAGACTCCTGATTAAAAGAGGCGCTGGATGCTTAGGATGTCACATAACCGGTTGGCTTGGACTACCCAAACTCCCGCCAACCAACAGAGGCTGACATCTGCCCCTAGCGTATGCGTTTGTTTAGGGACTGTGGTGGTTAATGCCGACCGTCAACGTGCCAGCATCTAAACGCACCAAGGAGACAAAGCTCTGGGCGTGTCCTAGAAAGTTCCTAGACTGGGTTAACAGAGGTTGGAAGATCCTTCCTAAATGTGAGTGGAACCATTCCATGGGCAGAAGGCCTAGACTGAATAAAAAGAAGGAAAAAAGAATGTCTGTTGGACAGCGGTGGCATATCTTTAATCCCGGTACCCAGAAGGCAGAGGCAGGTGGATCTCTGAATCAAGACCAGCCTGGTCTAAAAAGCGAATTCCAGGACATTTGGGGCTGCACAGAGAAACCCTGGCTCAAAAAGAAAAAATTGTATTTTTAGACAGGGTCTCTCTGTTATGCAGCTCTGGCTGGCCTGGAACTCAGAGAGACTGGCCTGCCTTTGCCTCTGCCTCCTGAGTGTGGGATTAAGGACATATACTGTCACACCCAGCCAAAAATCTAAGAAAAAAAAAATAAAGAAAAGACAAAGAAATCAAATGACGTACCAATGTCTATCTGCTTCCCAACTGCAGATGTGATGCGACCTTACACTGCTACGACTTTGCCGCCATGATAGACCGTGAGCCAAAATGATCCCTTCCTTCATCAAACTGCCTGTGCCAGGCACGTGTCACAGCAAGGAGAAAAACAACAAATACCGGGGCGCTAAAGCATTTTACCTACCGAAAGAAGGTGCCGGAAATGTGATAAAGAAATGACTGGGCAACTGTGGACAGACACCCCAGAAAGGTCATGACTGGATTACCATGGCCACCCTAGAAAAGAGACAAGACCTCCTCTGAAGAGAAAATGAACCTGTCAAAGAAGAAAAGTTCAATACTTGTAAAAGCAGCACAAAGAGAGCCTTATTCAAGATCACTTCCCCAAACTGGAGAGCAGGACCACAGACTTCCAGTGCAGAGAGAGATGGAGCTCAACCCCAGGACAGCACAGACGGGCGAGGGGAAGGGCCAGCGGATGGAAAATTACCGAGAGGAAGCAGGAAAAGTGAGAGGGAGTCTGGCTAAACTGACCTGACAGGCTTCTTACTAAAGACAAGCCAGCATGAACAAGCACCACCTGTGACTTGGTGCAAAATAAAAAAGACTGATCGTAGGCGCAATCACATAATGAAGACAGAGGGTTCTGGACAAACGACCTGGGCAGAGTTCTTTGCTAAAACCGGATTCTACCAGGAAATACACAGATGGGCCTAGGACAGAGTTCAAACTAAAGAGACTGGCTAACATTTGATCAAGCAGAAGATCGTTGACAAGAGAACAGAACCCTCTGTTATACAGAGGCGGAGGGACTGATGTCCACGGAAGGCCAGTCCTAACGTCCTCATAGCCCAGAAAGGAGCGTGAGACTGAAGAGACAAGCTCACACTTCTCCCACTGCCCAGCTCCTCTAGCGCTAGTGTGGTTCCTGACTTGAGCTGACGGGCAGCCTAAGCATCTATGACTCCTCAGTGCTCGTGCCCTCAGTGATTCGGCACCACTGTGACCACACCAGCCAGAAACAACCAGAGCGGTGCAGGTTTGCTTTGGCTCACAGTTCCGGGGGTCTCAGGGTCTCCGGAAGGGAAGGGAAGGTAGGCAGACAGGTAACATGGTAGTAACAGCACATGGAGGAAGCTCAAGATCCTCATGTTTAACTTGACTGGATTCAGAATCACCTAGGAACACATCTCTGGGCAGCACCGTCCCCTGGGCTGGAGTCCTGGACAGAATAAAAAGAAATAAATAACAACAACAAAAAAAGTGGGATGGACATCAGCATTCCCCCCCCCCTCTGCTTCCTGAATCTGACACAACATGACCAGCCACCTCACACGCCAATCATCATGCCTCTCCTCCTCAAACTGATTGGAAATAAACCCTCTCCCCTGAAGCTGCCTTTGTCAGGAAATCTCTCGCCAGCAACAAGAAACCAACAACAGCTGTTCGAAGCATGGCGGACTAGGAAGCAGGGTCTCATTCAACAGCTTACTGAGCTCTCCCAATGTTTCAGGCCCGGCTCTGAGCAAGCTCTGGACCACAGCCGCCACGGATGACAGCTCTGTTACTACGACAGCATCTGGTACAGGCAGAGGGACTTCAGGATGCTCAAGAGGAACACCTAAGCTTGGCTAGGTGGAAGCAAAGCAGTCTTGGAAGCCATCCCAGAGAGAGCGACACTAAGTGAAGTCTCAAAGATAAAGAGGGATTAGCTGGTGAGGGGATGAAGGATGTTTGCGGAAGAGGACCCTGTGCAAACAGAAGCACCAGAGACGCCACCGTTCCCAATGCAGTAGTCACCTAAAGGTGGACATGGGGGTCTCACGTGAAGGAGGTAACACCTGAGTCTTGGGGGATGGCTGAGTGAAGAAGGAAAAGAAAATCCCAGAAAGGATAACGCAATACACACAAAGATGCAGAGGCACCTTGGAAGACGCATGAGTGACGAAAATAATCAAGAAGAGGGTACAACAGCTCCTCGGGGTGACCAATGTCACTCTTAATAGCTTCAAGTGAAGATGACAGAAAACCCAGAAGACAGGAAAGCACTATCCTTTGAATCTTAAATGCCCCCCCCAAAGGTCTCTAGTATGGAACTGTTTGAAGGCAGTGAAAACATTAAGGGGTGGGCCACAGTGGGAAATCTTAAGGCCGCTGAGGTCGCAGCCGGTGAACTGTAGGCCACTGACTAATCCCTCTTTCACATGCCAGACACGCAGTCAATAGTTCTGTCCCTCCGTGCGTGCTCCCTCCGTGCGTGCTCCCTCCGTGCGTGCTCCCTCCGTGCGTGCTCCCTCCGTGCGTGCTCCACAGTGCTGCCAAGCACCAGGACAGGGACCTGCATTTGTGCAGGTAAAGCAAAAGGATGGTAAATTTGAATTACCCTGAGCTACGTAGTAAGACACTGTCTGAAAGGAAGAAAAGATGTGTTTTAAAATAAAAACAGGAGCTAGAGAGATGCTCAGAAGCTGAGTGCACACTGCTTTTGCAAAGGACACAAGCTTAGTGCCCTCGGTGGCTCATAACCACCTTTAACTCTAGACGCAGGGAACCTGATGCCCTCTTCTGGCCTCCAAGGGCAAGTGCATTTGGGTGCATATACCTATAAACAAATAAAAACATACACAATTAAAAATAAAATAAATATTTTTTTTTGAGACAAGGTTTCTTTCTGTAACAGCTCTGGCTGTCCTAGAACTCATTATGCGGAACAGGCTGGCTTCAAACTCAGAGATCTGCCTGCCTCTGCTTCCCAAGTGCAGGGATTAAAGGCTTGCACCACTACCACCTGGCAAAATAAATCTTTTCTAATAAGACAAAAACAAATAAAATCATGAGCCAATATAAATCTTTTTTCTTTGTAAGCCGAATCTCAGGTACCTGCTATAGTAAGGAAAAGCTGATTAACACACAGAGAAGAGAAAGAATAGGGTCAAAGGGCAGATCCTCCGCCAAGGCAGTAGCTCGCTATCAGACAGGGATGCCTTCTACAAGGAAGACCAATGGTATGAAGGACTGACAACACAAGCTCCCAGACAGACCTCAGTTTGACTCTCTGCCCTTCACTATCTGGGTGACCTTGGGCAACATTTAATGAGGCTAGGACCCCTTCTTTCACCTGGGAAATCAGGAAGCACAAACAAAGCAAACCTCACAGCTGCAGAAAGGATGAAGGGCCAAAATATATGCAAATAACACAACCCAAAACACAGCCTGTAGAGAACCAGAGACGGGCAGCAGAGGGGAGCCGCCGACCTTGGTGTTGGTGTGAGCAGATTTGGTTAGTTAGGTGCAGGTACTGAAGGAGACGATCAAATGCACACTCACTCCAGGGTCTCTGGCCTGTCCCTGAAAGCGAGCAGAGACAGGAGTGCTCCACATGAGCAACGGGCCTGGGAGAGGTCACGGTCGCTGGGAGAAGGTGAAGAACCCGCTGTTGAAAGACAGTCCTCCAGGAGCCTGGCCCTCTCTCGCATCTTGTGAATGGACAGATTCTGCCTCTTTTTCCCTGAGCCTCTTCTCAGGGTTGTGCTTATAAGAAGCAACCTTGAAGGATAGCGTACTACCTCCCTCTAGGATGAAGAGCAGTCTTATGTGCGACTTCCTTTATAAGCAGTAGGTCATCGTTCCCTCCTCCTGCCCCCCTTCCCAAGCTTCATGTTTCTCAGCTACGACACAAACCATCTGCACATGAAGCATCCATCTGGGCCCACCACACTGCCCCTGCAGGACTCGGAGGCAAGAAGAACTTATGCAGACATGCTGATGCTCCTGCTGCTTTGCTCTGCCCGAGCAGTAAAGTCCTAGGTCTCTAACCTCAGAGTCTCATATCTTCTGTCAATAACCGTGAGCCAATGGTGAGTTCAGTTATTAGCTAATAAACTAGAAAGAACCGGAGCCACCTGTGTGTGCCTGGTGTGAAAGCCATGAGTATAAATGGCAAAGCCTACAGTAAGGATTCATGCGTTACCTGTGTGTGCCAACACGTAAGACGGGGGTGAGAAAGAGGACTCCAAAAGACTCAAGGAAACACACACGAGGCTCTGGGTTCCGTCTCCCACTGTAAGAGGAAACTCCTTTTCAGTCTTCCTCTATAGCTCAAGTTGTTCCAGAGTTCACTGCGTAGCCTCAAACTTGCTTTCCTCCTGCCTCAGCATCCCAAGTGCTGGCATTACCATCATGCCAGACTAGAAAGAAGTTTCGACCAAAACTGAGTAGGCAACAGGATCAGATGCTGCATCTTCGTAAGATGAAGACTGAAAGTAGCCACTGAATTTAGCAACTAGGTCACTAGGCAAGACACATTTCAATGATGTGCTGTGGCCAGAAGCCAAACAGTAGTGGAAGGAGGATGGATGGAGGTAAAGAAGTTGGAACGATAAATACGAGGCGTTTCGCAAAAGCGTGGCTGAAACGGAGGGCAGGAGGGGAAGCCCTGGTGGCAGGAGCAGGTGGGGGCCAACTCAACTTGTCTCAACAAATGGAGGAGGTCTGTATGATCATTTCTGAGAACAAGCCCAGAAAGGGAAAAACTGGATGAGGATGGATTCAGAGAAAAAATGACCTCAAATCCTGGGTAAGACTGCATCTGCCCCAATCATACATCCTCCAGCAGGTCAAACTGCTGGCTCAAGGTAGGGTCTGTCTCCAGGGAGGTGGTGTCTACTCTCTCCTGAAAGGGGACCCGCCAACAAGGGTCCGTCATGGCTACTTTCCTGCAGAGATGAGACACACGGGTACAAACAGGACTCTCAAGACACCAATAGAAGACTCATAGAAGCACCAGAAATTTGGAATGCTATGTATGCTAAGCTGTGAGGCCGGAGTAGTGTTCTCAAAGAACGCCAGAGAGTGGGCTGTGCAAAAGGAATTTGGGGAGACCCAGGACCTCCTCAGGACACTCGGTGTTGGCGGAGAAGAAGACACCTCTGGGAGGAAGGAAAAGAATTCTTCTTCGACACCTCCGCTTGGAGCTCATCTACTGATAAGAGTCTCTGCTTGGCCAAACTTGTCAGGCTGGATTACACATAGGTCCTTGTGTAATCCAGTTTCTGTAAAGCATTTTCCCCAGTCGGTTCAGGAAGAACTGGGGATGGCTGATCACCTTCGATGTCTGATGACACTTTCACCCTCTCCCAGCCTGCAGGGGGCGCTGACTCAGTGTCTGCAGCCATTCTGTTCGGCCAGTTGGTCCTAGCTAACAGGTATCATTACAAAATTTTTCCGCGGGACTGAGAGACGGCTCAGTTGGTAAAAGTACTTGCAAGCAGGACCTGAGTTTGATATTCATAACCTAATTTTTTAGAAGAACTAAATTTTTAATTGATTTAAATTTTAAACTTAAATTTAGCTGGGCAGTGGCGGCCTATGCCTTTAACCCCAGCCCTTGGCGGGGAGGCAGGTGGATCTCTGAATTCAAGGCCAGCCTGGTCTGCAGAGTGAGTTCCAGGACAGCCAGAGCTACACAGAGAAAACCTGTCTCTAAAAATCCAAAAATAACGAAATTAATTTTAGATTTAATTTAAAAATAAATATGCCCCACACCTTTATTCCCTGCACCCAGGAGGCTAGGAAGAAGGAAGACAGGTGGATTCCTGTGGCTCATTGGCCAACCAGATAGCTTCAGACCAGTGAGAAACCTTGTCAAAAAAAAAAAAAAAAAAAAAAAAGAGAGAGAGAGACAGACAGCGACGGCGACAGAGAGAGGCAGGCTTTCCTGATATGGCTCACCACGTGGTTGACTTCAGCCCTCTCACCAAAAGCAGACCTAAAGAAACAAGAGCTAAGAAAACTGCGGCCCCTCCTACAGCTAAGAACAGGGCAGCCATAGGCCTCCCAATATGCCTTATTCAAGAACCATGGGTTCCCAGGGAGTTGGCAGAAGAACCCGGGATGAAGGCAACAGGAACGTACAACTAGAAGCCACATTTCCGCTTTGTGGCAGCAGGACGACCTAAAGGGCCCCTCTCGCAGACATTCTCCCCCCCCCCCAAAAAAAAAAAAAACAGTTCGGAGGATCCGGGTCTGAGTCCGTGCAGCAGCCACCATCACCGACCCGCACGCACCCTAAAAAGCCACCGGGGCTCCAAGGAGTGAACATCGGAACCACCCAAGACGCTAGCTAAATGCACATTTCCAGGCCCAGAGAAGAGACTCATTCAGTGGGCGCCGAGCCAGGCCTGCGATGCTGCTGCTCTTCCAGCCAGCACCTCGGACAACCCGAGTACTGGTTCCCTGCGGAGCCCACTCGGAGAAACCAGACTCTCGGGCGAACAGGGTCTCCAGGTTCCAAAGTTTCCCCCTCTCGCTAGGCGCACCGACCTCCTCCCACCACCACCACCACCACCACCCCGGGGCCTCACCCGCACGCGCGGTCACGGAAGCGTCGGGGAACTCAGTGATGGGCTCAACGGCCTTTGCCAGGGCGCCGCGGGCCCCTAAAAGCGCAGCACGGTGGCCGGCAGGGGGCGCTGCAGCAAGGACAATGCCGGGCGGGGGCGCCGGGCACCCCCAGCCCAGAGTCGCGCGGCGGGAAGGAGCGGGCGCCGGGGAGGGCGGGAGCCACGCGGCGGCGGCGCGAGGGCGGGGCAGCCGGCGGGGCGGGGCGGGGCCGACGGGCTGGCGGCGAGCGCCGGGAGAGCGCGCCGGCCGGGCCAGCGAGGAGGGAGGAGCGAGGGGGAGCGCGGGCCGCAGCCGCCCCCGCCCCGCGCCTCCCGCGCCTCCCGCGCGCAACAGTTCCCCTAAAGTTGCCGCCGGGGAGGCGCGCAGCCGGCGGGGGACGCGGCCTTGGCCCGGCGCGCGCAGCCCCGGCGGGCGGCGGGATGGGCACTCGGCAGACCAAGGGCAGCCTGGCGGAGAGAGCCAGCCCGGGCGCGACGCCCGGCCCCCGCCGCGAAAGACCCGACTTCTGGGCGTCGCTGCTGCTGCGTGCCGGGGACAAGGCGGGGCGCGCGGGCGCTGGGCTACCCCCCTACCACCGGCGCGTCGGCATGGTCCAGGAGCTGCTGCGGATGGTGCGCCAGGGCCGGCGGGAGGAGGCGGGGACGCTGCTGCAGCACCTGCGCCAGGTGAGCGCGGAGAGGGGGAACGGGGGGCGCGGCGGCTACCTGAGCGCCCCGCCCCTGCGAGGTGCGGCGTGGGGGGGGCACACAAGAGCGCCCGGCGGCACCGCCCAGGGTCCCCCTTCGGCGGGGGATGGAGCAATGTGACAGCAGGTGCCTCCTTGTTCCCGCTGAATTTGGGGCCTCAGGCTAGGGCGAGGAAGGCTGACCCGGCGAGGCTGGTAAAGGGACCTGTTGGACCATTGTCCCTTCTCCTTTCCTCCACAGGTCCCCAGGGATAGTTGATGAGAGAGGATACAGAAGTGCACGCCTGGTCTGGGCCAGGGCTCTCTTCTTCCTTTTTGCCCACTACCGATCACCCTCTTCCAAGGGTCCCCAGGGTTGCGCAGTTTTCTGCTAAAGCCGGCTTCTGAGGCATGTCCCTCGGACTGGTAAGATTTCAGTCCCTAGGTCGTTTGCCACCTGGTGATATTTTGTATTGTAGTTTCACCTTCCCTAACTTTGGCTGGTCCTGGCTATGAGCTCCTACCGAAGTCTTCCCCGGAATGAAGCTAGGCTTAGTTTCCTTGACCAGCAGGGATGGAGGCTGCCTGTGCCTCAGCCTTGTCCTCACCACTGGTTAGGGGCAAGCTAGAGATCTGGTCAGTTCCCTCAGTTCAAGGCCTAATGCTGTCACCCGCCTCTCAGTTTTTGTTTTTCTTTCTCTGTTTCTTTTGGGGAAGGCCATAGCCTGTTCTATAGGGTCTTGTTGAGTGGCAGGGGCGGGAGGGCGCGTAGTTTCTCTGCAGAACAGTAATGAGATTGCTTTGGTCTGGCTTTGTGGCCCAGACTCACAGAGACCCTCTATTTTTGAAGGACCCCAGTATTCTACTGCCGATAGGGGAGGGAGAACCTCAGCTGACCTTTGTGAGGTTTTCCCATTACTGATGGAAGAGGCTGTAGGAACGAACAACTTCCTGGGAGGAGCTTCCAGAATCTCTAATTGGATCCACATCTCCCTGGATTCTGTACCATGGCTTCCCTCACACCCATATGTTTCTCTGGAGTTTGTTCCTAAGGTGTGCACGGCGGCAAAAGAGAAGGAAGTAGAGGAGAGGGCACTTGGGAAGATGTAAGGCTTCCACCTTTGCCTCTGCTTTCCCCAACAACGTCCACAGCGATGCCCCAGAGGCTGCTGGAGCCTCAGGTATTCTTCCTGGGTTGAATCATCAAAGATGACATTCTACACCACATAACTTTAGGGATGTGTGCTTCACTGTGTTTTGGAAAATTAGAAGCCAACCTTGTATGGCCTGCATGGTCACTCTGTTGCTTTCACACAGAAAATGGATTTTTCCAGACCATCGTAAACCACTTGCACAATAGTCAGTAAAAGGGTTGTTCAGATCCCATGCTGTTTCCCCGGTCCTGGGAATGCCACTCTTGACGAATAGGAAAGCCTGGAAGGAGCAAGCCCTGCTGAGAAGCCCACCAGAGGAGGCCGATGTTCTGGGTCTCTGGGAGAATCACACTTTGCATTGTGGGAACCGGGGCGTCTCCCTTTAGGGTCTTCTGCTGGTGTGCCTCTGGCTCTCTGGCACCTCTCCAGCCACAGGCCTGGGAGGGCTAAAGGGAGGAGGCAGGGTTAATTAGACTTCCCCCTTCTCTGGGGCTCTCTTGCTCTGTGGCTGACAATGAGGGCCGTGGACCTGGAGAGCCGCCCTGTGTTGCCTGTAATGTGGGATCAGGGCCCTTCCAGGAAATGGTCATTGGCCTTAAGCATGTGGGAGTGGAGCTCAGGGATGTCCAAATGCCCGTGACAAATGAGAAGGGTGTTTTCTAGGACCCTGAAACCAACTAGCAGAATGTCTAGGCAGATCTGTGCTGCAGTCTGAAGTGGCTCTCCCCTCAGAGCCTATTTTCATCTTAGTTCATCTTCGTTGTCTCCTGGCAGGAGCCAGCGCAGCGTTGACCACCCCCGTGCCCATAGTACTTTCTGCTATACTTGTTAACATGTTGGCACTAAATGTTTGGGTTTGGGAGTTCTTTTGAAACAAGGTCATATATGTCCCAGGCCGGCCTCTAACTCAATGTGTAGCCAGTGATGACCTTGAACTTCTGATCCCCCCCCCCCAGCCTTCACCCCAAAGTGCTGGGATTATAAGCATGAACCGCCACACCCGGTTTCTTCAGTACTGGATATGGAGCTCTGGGCCTTGTGTATACCAGGCAAACATTCTTCCAATTGAGCGACTCCCTAGGGGTTGACACGGGATTTCTGTGTGTTCAGAGCATATGCAGGGTTAGAGAAAGCGTTGGTCTGTAACTCCTGCGATCCTCAAGGAATTGAGTCCTTGATCTTTCTGAGACTCCAGAAGAGCCTTGCTGTACTCTCCTCCAACAAACGCACCTGACCTTGCAAAGACTTTGAAGAGGTGCCCAGAGCCTGTGAGCACCACCTATAGAGCCCACGTTTGCAGTCACGGCTTCTGCCTCAGACTGCCGTTTCCCCGGCTTTGCGGTTCGCATATAGAAATAGTCCAGAACCGTGTGTGACAGGCAGTTCACGGTGAGCTGGTGCATTCTGGCTGCCGGTGCCACTTGGCGGACTCGGGGAGTGTTTCCTCGCTTGGAGACTCTCCAGCTTATCCTCTGTGGCAAGGCCTCACACACCGATCAAAGGGTGCAGGCAGCATGCCAGGCAGTTGCCTTGAAGGATCCCAGAGCCATCCCTTCCCTTTAGGAACACTGTGAACTGAGAAAGAGCTGGGGCCAATGGTCGTGGCTTGCCTTTGGTCCTCAGCCTGCTGTGACCTTGGGCCCAGTGGTAACCTCCTGAGTTGTGTTTCCTCTTTTCCCAAAGAGGGATCCTGGGTACTGAGCAGAGCAAATGCGATCAAGTGTGTGAAATTTTGTTGGCATTGCCAATCAAGAGGTGTTCTCATGGCAACCAGGAGAATCTGGCCTACTTTGGGTATAGCTGGGCTAGGGGCAAGGTCATGTGTCCTTTCTCTTCAGGCCTAAACCTGAAGCAGTCTGGAACAGATGTTCTGGGGGATAAAAGAATTCGTTACCCCACCCTTTCCCCATCACGCCCCTCACCTCGGCCTTCGTCCACCCAGGCATTGTGGGTTTGGTGGCTCAGACTTGCCGTCTGTAAGGAGTCCTGGGGAAGGAATGATTTGACAAAGGATAAATGCTGGACTACATGGAAGGTGGCATTGTCACTGTTTCAGCCCGGCAGTTTCTCTTCTGTCCCCAAAATTCCAGACCGTGTTGTCCTGTTTCATGGAGCAGCAGCGTTAAGAGGGATTGGCATGCTACCCGCTGAGGTGGCCTGTCTCTGAGTTCAGCAGCATCTCAACTGTGTTAGTCAGATGCTGCTATGACAAAATACCCGAGGTGGTCGGTTTATGGGCAAGGCTCTGTTTGGGCTCACAGCTTCAGAGGTTTCAGGTAGTGGTCATTTGGGCCTGTGACAGGGCAGTACGTCATGGCAGGGAGTGTGTGGCTGAGGAAGCTGCTCACCTCTAGTGACTGGGAAGCAGAATTAGAGAGGAAGACACCAGGGTCCCAGGACATCCCACGAGTCCCCACTTTTTTTTTAAATATTTTATTTATTATGTATACAATATTCTGTCTGTGTGTATGTCTGCAGGCCAGAAGAGGGCACCAGACCCCATTACAGATGGTTGTGAGCCACTATGTGGTTGCTGGGAATTGAACTCAGGACCTTTGGAAGAGCAGGCAATGCTCTTAACCTCTGAGCCATCTCTCCAGCCCCCCGAGTCCCCACTTCTTAAAACTTCCACTACCTCCCAAGAGTACCACAAGTTAGAGACTCGTGGCCTTTGAAGACTCTTCTCCAAACCCTAGCCTAGCATCCACTTCCCTGTTGGGAGAAAGTTGGCTGGTTTAATGCTGGTTTGGCCTACCCGTAGTTGCCTGACTGGCCTTGAAGACCTCAGTGTTGCCTGGATTCATGGCTCTGGGTGCTGTCCAGAATGGCAGGACTGACTGGCCTCCTACACCCTGGAGCAGAAACCACACCCACAAACACAAACAAGAACACGGGCTCTCTGGTGTTACACACACACACTGACCCAAGAGGAACTGGAGACTCCCGCCCCAGAGATGGAAAGATGAGCACAGTGACCTTTGAAGGTCATCTTTTCCCTCCCCTCTCCCTCTGGCCGAGGGAAGGCCACCAGACACTGAGCAGGCAGGTCCCCACTACGACCTCTTATTCTTCCTCTGCCTGGAATGTAGCTCCTTGTTTCCACACGGGCTCGTCAGCTTCACAGGCCCCCTTCTTGGGCACGCCAGCCCACGCTCTGGTGTCTAGTCAGCACCCCAGGACCACCATAGTGTGAGGTGTTTAGTCATCTGTAGCCCTCCCCCGTGACCTTTTGTTTGTTAGACAAGGTCATATGCTTACTGAGAGTGGAGACCCACCATCACCAGTATTCATGATACAGTAAAAACCAGC